GAGCCGCCAACGCGGTCGGGCTCGGCGTCGCATTCCGCCCCCGCGCCCGCCTATGACCAGCCGCGAGCCCGAGCCGCCGAAGGCAGCTCTCGATGCTGCTACCACTGCCGCTGCTGCTGCCGCCGCCGTTGTCGCCACCGGTCCTGCTGGCACGGATGACTCGGACCACTAAGCCCCCCACCTCACCACCATCATCGCCGTCGGGTCCGCTGGCACAGACGGTTCAGACGACTGATTGCACACACCCCCTACATTACTCCTTCGTATACTCCTTCGCAAACACTCGCATTTTCCCTCTTCGCATCGAAGTATACCCCGCATCGCTCACTCGTACACTCCTTCCGGCGCAAACACTCGCATTTCTCGTCTTCGCATCGAAGTTTACATTACAACTCTGGATCTAATGTTCACCCATACTTTCCGTACCGTGTCAGTCACGAAATATCATTGTTTATGCTCAGTTCGCGTCGCATGTGCTGCATCTGCTCACTTTAATGTTCCGTGTGTGAGGTTGCCTTCTCAGCAGATTGTCATCTTGTTGGATGATTCAGCAAGCCCACTATGATCCTTCAGCCATCTCTGAATTGACGATGACCTGTTGCTCCTCGCATAACAGATAGTCACCACGAGTGAGGGCATATTTACCACAGACATGATATAACGTGAATGCAGACATCGTTATTTGATTGAGGTACGTTACATATCGTAAGGACCACAACAACGCTGCGCGAACATTGTTTGAGTGTACTCCGCAACAGCTCATCTCCATTCTCCATGTCACAACACGTCGGATCTCGCAGGAGGGCCGTCTCAAATGAGACTCGCATATCTTCGATTGTGTTGCCTGTTGGATCTCATCGCAGCGCCTCGTGACATCGACCAGGTGATAAGTTTGCATCGTCGCGTTGATCTCGTCGTGAGCTCACCCTCGAACGGCGGTGTAGCGTGACATCAGCCAACGCCGGCAGCTGCAGAACGGTATTTTACGATGAAGCGGAATCATTTTTTCATGTACAGGTAAATGCAAGCATCTCATATACATACAATTACCGAACATACCAGTTAACGGGCGTTCTCGAGTTGGATTTGTTCGGCGACCGGGTCGAGTAATAACTTGAGTCGAAGTTGACGAGCATCCCAAGTACAGAAGCACTATATATAACAGATATGCATTTGAGCAGCACTACCGCGCGGAGAGACGTTCTTGAGGATCTATACAGAGATACTAACCTGCACCTATATTCAGCGACAGTCGACGGGGCCGCCGTGGTCTTAATTTAGCTCGCACTGAAGGCCGACTTTGCATGGGAGCCGGTAGCCAGCGCGGTCCCTCCTCGAGCATCGCGTATATCCTGTCGCTTTCTCCTTCCACCACCTTCAAGATCTTAGACTGCATATATGCAAACAGCGTACCCTGGTCAAGCCGGGCACCTAGGACGACCTCGCGAGGGTGGGTGGCCAAGGGTATAGGAGGGCGTTGCAAGTAACACCTCCTAATCCAGGTACGATGTTGTCCCGCAGTCGAATTTCGGGTTCCCAACCCCAAGGCATCCAATCGCATCGATCCCGTATAGCCAGTCCCGGATTTTCAGGGTATCGTCGCGAACATGGGGCGATCCGCCTCGATGGTGTTGTAAATGCGGTCCACGACGAGGTTTATGGTTCAAACAACAAGGCATGTACTGGTATCTGTTGTGTTTCCAACGTCTTGACTCAGCTTGAGCAGCTCCGGAGGGGTTGTCTGCCAAGATTGTTCCTGATGGCGACCTACCATAGATTTTCTCGTCGGTCATAGGTCCATATCTGCCCTTGCTGCAGTATATCCGAGTCGGCGATGTATCGCAAGGTATCGGGTTCAGGGCCAGGGAGGCAGGCTGAGGTTCGACTTTGAGGGCGTCACGGCAAGAGGCGACCACGATGGGCAGTGACGGCATTCGTCCCACGGTCAGTTTGCCCGAAAGCTCGCGTCAAGCCTTGTCCTCGCAACCGTCCTCCCTCACCTCCGCTACCACAATGCTGCCCTTCCTGGCCATCCTGGCCGCCGGGCTCGCTTCCTCAGTCCGCGCGGTCACCGTCTACTCTCAGCAGACATTCGGTGCTGCCACCACGTCTGCCGCCGCCGCGTCGTACACTGGAGCCGCCGCCTATGACCCCACCGTCCTTAACGCACCCGCCGTGCCCAACCCGGCCCCCGCCACTCAATTCAGCGTGCAGCTGCAGAGCCAGGCTAGCGCGGTTCAGGGGCTGAGCATCCCGCAGAGCGGCTCATTCCTAGGTTTCTCGATAGAAATGTCCGTCATTAACCAAATCCGTGAGTAACCGTTGTCTGCGCCTGGATGACGGCTTTGGCTGAGCGGTGTGTCCGATCCTTTCCTCGAACGCAGTTGGGAGCAACTCGTGAGTATATGCAATACTGTTCGTTCATGTTCCGCAGAATAGATCGCTCATCTCGATTCTCGCATGAAGATCCTTCGTACAAGTTCCATTCCTCAACTTGATGTCCAACCTTGCCACTCGCGGAGGTCACGTAAACGTTCGTGTTGGTGGTAATACACAAGATTTTGCCACCCTCGTCGACAGCCTTGCCGATGGCAAGATGATGGAGAAGGATTTGGAGGGGGTCTCTAACCCGGTGCGTCATTTGCTCCCATGGTCCTGGCGGCCTTCCTGCTGACTCTCAAGTTCGATGCTAGACACAAACGCCGCCCTTGCTCTTCACTCCCGACGTCCTCTACCTCATGAACAATATTTCTAGCCTCGTCAATGTTCGGTGGTACCTCGGCATCCCGCTCAACGACAGTCAGAACCTTCGTCTCGGCATCGCGGAGGCTGCCGAACAGATTCTGGGAGACAATCTTCTCGGGTTCCAGGTCGGCAACGAACCGGATCTTTACGCCGAGTATGTCTCCAGTAGTTCGCCTCTGGGGCCGACGCGATGATTAGCTGATCGTTCTGGTATAGTCACGGACATCGTGCTCCGGGTTACAGTCAATTCGACTACTTCGGCGAGTTCGGCAGTGTTATCGCCGCCATAGCGTCGAACGACCAGATTCTGGTCAAGAACAACCTCATCGGTACGCCTCCCATGGAGCTGGTTGCATGGGCGAAATTTTCTGATTTTCGTCTTCATTGTAGGTCCGAACTTGGCTACCGGCGACTGGACGCCCGAGATGGTCTGGGATACCGGATTCATCACTAGCTACTCTAGCTCCTTGGGCGCGTTGGGCGTCGAACAGTGCGTATATCATACTTTTGCATAATGCCCCCCCCCCCTCGTGCCGCCCGAACGCTGATCTGAGCCCGCTATGAAGCTACCCCGACAACAACTGCGCGGCCCAATTCGGTACCGATGCCCAGGCAAAGGATCCGCAGACCGTCTTCTCGGACTACCTCAATCACACCTCGGGCCAGCTGCTTGTGCAACCGTACCTCAATTCTACCGGCATCGCTCAGGTATGAACCCTTTTGCAATTGCTACCCTTGTTGTTCACGGGCCCGGCTTTGGATATAGGGAGCAGGTAAACCCTTCATCATGTTCGAAACCAACTCTGCCTCTTGCGGTGGTTTCCCCGGAGTTAGCAACAGTTACGGCAGCGCGCTCTGGATGTTGGATTATGGGATGCAGATGGCTCACTCGAACTTCTCGGGTGCTCACGTGCACATCGGTGGACAGAACGTTTACTACAACGTATGTTCCTCTCATTCGTCGCGCACTACAGTTGTCTGATATCGATGATATGTGGTATAGCCTTTCACCCCTCCTCCGACTAACCAGTCCACGTTCCACCAATGGACCATCGGCCCTATCTACTACGCCTCGATGATCATCGCCGAGGCGTTCGGCAACTCGAACCAGTCGCAGATCATTGATATGTTCGCGAACGATGCCAACATGTACACGCCCGCATACGCGATTTACGACAACGGTATGCTTTGAGCCATCTTAGCGCTATGATCAACTCTCACATCGATCATAGGCTCGCCGTCCAAAGTAGCGCTGTTCAACTACATCACCGACTCGTCCGGCGCGAGCAACCTCAACGTTGCTGTGTCTATCAACGGTGCAACTGTCCCAAGTTCGGTCAAGGTGAAGCGTCTGAGCGCCGAGTCCGTCTCTACCAAGAGCAACATCACATGGGCTGGCCAGGTACGTGGTGCTATTTACACATATCGGACCCCACGACTCACCATCCTTCCCTGTAGACCTTCGGCGGCAGCTTCGAGTCCGATGGCCGTCTCGTGGGTGATCTCGACATCGAGACCGTCAACTGCGACACCGGCAACAACGTGTGCCAGATCAGCGTGCCCGCGCCGGGCTTCGCGCTCGTCTTCCTCTCAGACGACGCGCTCACAGACGCGGACCAGGCGTCCACCGTGCAGACCTTCTCGACCACCGCGGTCACGAAGACGGTGAACACGGCGACGATCGACGCGAGCGTACTCGCGACGAGCAACGGGCACAGCGGCAAGGACCGCAAGCTTGGCAGCACGAGTAAAGGGTCCAGTTCGGATGCGCCGCGGTCCACCGCTACGTCTGCGTTCGCTGCAGTGGCCGCGATGGCGTTCGGCGCCATCGTTCTCGTTGGCAGGACGTGGATGTAAGGACCGTTTCTTTGGATTTCTGCGCGCAGCTTAGTACCCCTCTCCTTTTCATCGTCGCTCTTTACGGACAAAAGTTTCGTCTGAGCAACGACTCGGATTCACGCATGTATCTTTACATCTACGTCTCTGGACCAGACATTTAATCCGTTACATGTATATACCCATCCACTACACCCTCTTTCGCTCCAACTCAGTTTGGATCTCCCAATGCCAGGGGCTATGGTGTCACTGTCAGTGTGTAGTGTGTGAATCACGAGACTATGCACTCGTAAGGTGTGGCTTCCCTCCTATACGCAGCCCTGAATATGACGCTGCATTGTATGTAACATGCTCTCCCGGCCCACGACATAGCTTCCACTGTTTGCTGCCGTCACCGCGCGCATCTGAAAGAGACGGGAATCGACGACTCTTATGCTTGGTCAGGCGGAAACTGCGACGTATCTGGAACAATGTGGTGACGAACTGGTTGCGATCGAAGAGGTGCTGAGTGCGTATGTGATCTGGTGAGTGCAGGATGTTCGATGTTCTACGACACGTATCATGTTGGCCACGGTGCTCGATAGGAAGTTCTTGAAGGGACACAGCTGCCCTCACGTCTTGCAGAAACTCCATTATCTATGCATATATCTGCGTGTGACGTGAGGCCGTTATTGCATATACCCAATATCTTTCTCATGGTGGACTATGACTTCTTAGCGGTCGCACGAGGGTGTTATCATTTGGGCGTGATGTCTTCAAGGTCATCGCGCTCGAGGTTGCGGCAGGGGGAGGCAGGCTCGGTGTAGCACCTGGTGAGAGTCATCCAGACCTTTCCTTCACCTTTACCGCTCTCACACTGAGGCGCACAGTAACAAGCCCTGTGGGCAAAGAAATCTGGAACCGGATCAGACGCGAAGTGAGCAAGTCGGCGCGACAGCAACGGCTCGTCTCGACCGACGCAGAGTACGGCGGGCCCGCACCCGCCATCCTGCTCGTCACCCCTCGTCAGCTCCCCCTCGTTGTGCCCCCAACCTTTCGACACGTCTTTGACCCCATGATGCGGCGGAACGGCATCGGTCAGACCATCGACCCTGAGGGCCTCGAGCACGCCCGCGCGACGACCACGGAACGCTGGTTCAGGTCACGGCCGCAGTTCGGGAATACGGATGCGCCGGACTACACGAGTGACGTCGGTACGCTACCGCGGTATCACTCCCAGCAAAGTCGCGCGGACGAAAGTGGCTCATTACCTCCTGATTATGCGAGTCGGGCGAGCTTCGGTGAGGTGTCGTTGTTAGAGACGCCGCCGATGACGGCGGAAGAGCGCGCATTGATCCGTGCTGGGTTGGAGGACGTGGCGAGAGTGCTTGACATAGCTCCCACTGATGTTCGTTTCTCGTCCGCTGCATGATTGTCTACGTTGCAATTACTTGATTGCCTGAACCAGCTGGATATAACATCTCGATGCTTATATCGCTTTTATCCTCGCGTCCCTGTTCGCGTACTCGATGCCTTGTGGTTGTATCATCGCAGTAATGACTGGTGTGTTATGTCTCTCATCCCGGGACTCGGCTGAGTCCGTGTTTTGTTCACTGCCATTGTTCTTGTATTAAATCAGATATAATCTTCCTCTAGTCTGCATCCCAATTCGAACCAAGGGCCCCAGTCTGAGTTGGCACGGCCCTATACCGGTAACATTGATGGTCGTGACAAGAGCGCACAGGTTCTGCATATATAGTCTGACGCGACAGGCTTCAATAAGCGCTACGAAAGCCAATTTCTCAGCTCAACCAACGGCGGCTACTTCTGTATCCTGACTGAACCTCAAGGATTTCTCCGTGTCGCCTCCTTGAGTGCAGGAATAAGTGTGGAGCGGGCGTCCCATTGGCGTGGTAGATATTCGCCGGATATCGAGAGGAAGTTCATCTTCGGATATCCGTCTATTGGTAGCAATCTTTGAAGGTTGATGCCCCTCGCTGCCGCTGGCTCGAGCAGCAAGTCATTGTCATCCCTCCCCTCAGCGGCGGAGGCGGGCTGGTCATGTCCGCCGGTGAGAGGTCCATCGGGTGGTCCGGTCCCAAACTGCTGCTGGACGTCTTTCAGTGTATCGTCGAAGAGTTTCAGAACTTGTGAATGTATGACTCCGGAGGTGAGGTGGTTGTAAGTCCTGTAGGTGAAAACAAGCAGGTCCCACCATCTCAGCATGAGCGGTTTCAAGCATGCCATATCGGGATGAAAGGAAGCAATGATATATTCGTTCATCTGGCCAGGTTGTTGGAAGAAGTCGGTCTTGTTGCTCTTGACTACGTCGTCGTCCGACATGTCGAACAGGTAGTAAACAATGGTATGCAAAATCCTATTAGTGGTGTCGTCCTCGGGCGGATCCTGAAGTAATTCGGGGCGCAACCGGCCTTCACCCGTGCGCGTGAGGCAGAGATAGACGAGAACCCAGAAGAACGATTCAATGTCATGGATGACGCCGTGGATGATGTGACCTCGTCCGAAGCCATACTCGTACGGCCTTCGAAATCTTCCTGATAACTCGCCACTCGTGAACGCCGCTGTACCCTATGAGGATCACCGGTGAAGATCAATGACATTAGCCTTACTTGTATAATGATGTATCCTACGGTGTGCACATCAATGTCCCTCGACACGTCATCGCAATTAGGCCAGGAAAGCTATCAGTGTTTCAATAATCACGCGCCTCTGAGTATGTCCTTCACTCACATTAGGCTCAGGTACGGTTACGACGATGTCGGGAATCTGTGCAAGTCGACATTAGGCTTTTATGCGCGCTCAAGAAGGCTGAATACCTACTACCTCCTTCCAAATCTTCAGGGCTTCTTCTAAGACTCCCAGCGATTCACTTAGGCGAAAGTAGGCTAAGAGTTTCAGCGCGGTGGCGTTTGTGATATCCAAGTCATAATCCTCTTTGGCGCACTGGATGAGTCGAGCTATCTTCGCGTCGTCCGTCTGCATGGCGGAGGGTGTGATCCATCTCTTGTACGAGTTCTCCTGATCATGATAGACCAGGCACCCTAATTTCCTGTTCTCGTCCTCTGGTGTGATGAGGATATTCCCGGGACAAATATCTCCGTGCAGAACGCCGCAGAACCAAAGGTCTTTGTGTCCTGCAGAGATCACTCAGTGAGAGTCAGAGTTGTCCATTGCAGATCCCAACTCACCCGCAATTGCGGCACGCATAGAATTCAAGAGAACAGAAACATTATGGAAATGTTTGATACTCAGCCCTTGCGTCGTCATCTGCCATATAGTGAGTGTGTACTCCCCTACACAATCACGCAGTTCAGCACGAGACTTCTCGTCGAGATACTAACGATTCAGCCTGTGACTGTGAGTTAGAAAGTGCCCTAGCTCTCCTTCCTGGCCTTGTCAGTCGGAGCAGGGTGGGGTGTTCGCAGTGCAGCGCCGAAAGGTAAGCGCAAACTGTGGTAGATCTGAGATCACGTGTTGGTCATAGCGGGCCAATCACAATGCCCAAATATTGTCGGTTCTCACGAATTGTTGCCTTCCGCTTGGCTGATCCCGCTCGTCACCTAATACCCAATCCGTGGGTAACATACCTTCTCGAAGACAAGGGTCTATATGCTCTGATCCGGCTTCGCAACAACGAATTATATTCTTCCAAGGCCTGTAAACCATTTTCCAAAGAGTCCTTCAAAATATGTTACCCACGGATTTTAGATGTGGTAGTGCCGCGATACGAGTGTGACGTTACCTTGACTTTACCTATTGCACGTCGCAATGTCTTACTCGGAAAGCTCTTGAACCAACACAGAGTTCAAGCTTATCGGAACAGATACATATGCTTGCCGTTCGAAACCAAGAACATTAAATCTCAATATCCAGTAATTCTACATCGAGTGGGATCCATCTCCGGGCAGACGGCACTAGAAAGCAACATGCAAGGGTGCATCGGACACGAGATATTCGCAGCCTACAGTGAAGCGCTATGATTCCGTCTCAGTGCGTGGGGAATGGCGTCCCGCTGGCGTGATGCGCCGACCGTGCCTACAACCCACGACCTTCTCCTGGCTGGCATCTCTGAATTTAAACCTGCTCTCTCGCCGCTGTGCGATGCTGCAGTATCGTCAACTCGAGAAAGCATGGTATGTTGATGCGCTACACATATCCGGAGTGCCTAAACCATTCCTCCGCATTCTCGGGGATCCTGCCTCGAACACGGCTTCCCAAATAACACGATAAGGGTGACAAGCATGGTCGCCCGCAAGCTGAGCTCGGACAACATCCATATCACGTTGTAATGAGGCCTTCATCGCGGAAAAGAACTCTTCGATTGGGTTGTAGTCAGGCGAGTACGGAGGTAAGAACTCGATGCGCATGCCGCTGACGCTTGTAAGGCCCTGTGTAGCGGGAAACAAGGTCCATCCACTTACCGCGCTTGAACTAAGTCTCTGAGAGCGACTTGTGGATGGACGCGTTGTCCATCACGATTACTGATTTCGGGTGTGCCCCTAGCCCCTCGTGGATGACATGGCCGCCCACCAACTGAAAACGCCGAGACTTTTGTCTCTGACCGCCCAATCCCTCCTCCCCTCCCCCCACCGATTACTCCTATCACTCCCCTTGCTTCACGGCGATGACTGATACTTGCGCAGGTTACCGCGCTGCGCCTCGCATTTGCGGTCGATCGGTAGCGGATTGCGTTGGCTGCGCGGAGCTGCAAGTCGGCATCAACATGGCGCACCTCAAATGCCAAGATCAGGTCTCGCTATACACCGAGTCCCCCTCCTGAACTCTCTTTCCTAATCCAAGGCCCAGGAATATCGTCATGCTCATACTTTCGGACCCCGACGACGGAACCCTGCTCGCGCTCGAGTGCGCGTCAACCCAGCGGCGCGACTTCCTACGCTGCAGATTCGCTCAGCGTTACATTTGGCTCCCCCGTGCAGAGGATAACCGCTTCATCCTAACCGCCGCAGACTGGACGCGGAATGCGGACACCGTGTCATTAATGCTGAAATTGCCGGAGGGGAGAGCATTGGTCTTCCGACTACTGCCGGCGGAGCCCAAATATGCGAAACCGGTAACACATATTCTGTCCATTGGGGCTGCGCCGACGTTTACCTTCTGTGTTCATAGTCCAGTGAAGTTCACTGAAGATGACCATGGTGTGCCCTTCATGAGCGGCACGTTGTTCACGCGTGGTGCGCCGACCACCGCGGTGCATTGCTCTCTGTCATGCACCTCTGAATTTATATTCTCAACTGAACCGTTCAGCAGTGGACTTAAGCCCCATGACAGTCGCGTCGCTGCCGCCATAATGTCGTACACTGACCATGCCCTGGCCGTGCTCAACGCACCCGTTGTGTCTGTCGAAGTTGCCTCCTGACACGCAGTTCATCAAAGCGCCCTGACGGGGCCGGTACCGCGCTCAGTGGAACGTTCATGATGTTTTCGATGGAAATGTCCGTCATAAATCACATTTGTCAGTGATTGTTTCCTCCACCTGTCGGCGCGTTTTCATGCGGATTGGATTGGATTACTCGCCTTGCAGACATTCCACGGTTGCTTTGAGCCTCACAGTCATCTTGGTTGGCGACGTCGGCAGCGAAGCCGTCAAATGCGATACGGACAATAACCTACGTGGGATCAAAGAATGCGCCAGGCCTCGCTCGTCCTCCTTACATAGGAGACGCCGCGCCCACTGATGCGGGCCAAGCGTCGACTGTGCGCACGTCCTCGACGACCGCGGCTATAAAGACAGCGAACACGGCGCTAATTGACGCGAGCGTGCTCGCAACTTGAAATGGGCATATCGACAAATATCGCAAGCAAGGGAACACCCGTAAAGGCTCCAGCTCGGGTGACGCCGCGATCGACAGTCCCGTCTGCGCTCGCTACAGTCGTCACGACGGCGTTTTGGGTGATCGTTTTCTTGGCTGGGGGATTACGACTATTCGTTGGTTTCTGTGGGCATACAACCACCGCCTGTGTCACTGCTATTCCCCGGCGTACATTCTCAGCTTTCATGTGAGCTACGCGCGATCCTATACTAGTCTCCTACTCGGAAACGGCAACACAAACTTAGGGATTGAAGGTATCATCAAATCAAGAGACGGACAGACGGCCTGCAGGGGATGGATGGACGTAGGGACTCGAAGCTAGTGAGAATAACACTCGGGAACAAGAAACGTGCAACAAGTTATACAGGAGAGACGAGACCGAAAATAGGCATTGATGCCTCATGCAAGTCGTGCGTGCGCGTGCTATGCCAACGCCTCGGAGATGTTCAGGCACTCGACAGCGACGTCCTCCAGACCCAAGGGACGCGGCTTATTGAGCCACTCGTCGACAAACTGACGAGCGTGCTCTACAGTTGGCATGGTAAGACGGACTTTATCGTTGACCGCTACTGCCAGGGTTCGCCCGTGGTCAAAACCCGGCACGTGACCAAGGACGATGGAGGATATGGTCTGAAGGTCGTTGTTGCGCAAACCACCCGGCCAGGTAATCATGAGGATACCTGACTCCGTCATGTTGGAGTTATCACGGGTCGTGTTGTTATCGTTGCGCGATGTGGAATCGACAACGGAAGCGGGGGCCAGTGGGCAATTTGCGCATCCATATAGACGGCCACGACTAAGCGGTTGCACCGTGGACTCGCTCTTCTCCACACCTACGTGCCCGATGTTAGGTGTCGAGTCGGCCGTCACTACGTCGACGACTTGGCCGAATTTTTGGAAGAGGAGAGGATTGTTCGCGAGTCCTCCACAGCAATATCCTTTGACAAGTTCCGGCTTGTCGGCAAGAAGCCGTGCGGCGGTGTAACTATTCAGATTATCGCTAAACGTCGGTTTGTGCATGCGGAACGTGCTGTAGACAATCAAGACAAACCACATGCACAGGAATGTCGACGTCAGTGTAGTGTATGGGGTATTCTTTTTCCATGTCACCTCACCCAGATACTCGAGTCGCGTATAGGTGAGATTCGTGGATTCTTGGGCGAGAGAAGAGAGACTATTGGCCATGAAGGCTGCACCCCAACCAAGATTTAGCGCGAACTCTGATATAGTGGGTGGCTTATCGGCATTCGTGTCAAAGCCCAGAGCTTCCAGGATGCTATCCACGGTGGGCCCTGGGTTGTTCGACTGCAATGTCATGTAGTACAACACGGCATAGAGTGGGTGATACGACACATCGGCATGGCGTGATTGAGAAACCGTGATGTTAGGAACTGCATGCGGTTGGAAGTTCATGAAGCTTGGCCACTCCGAGTCGTCGTCCACAATTATAATATCCGAGGTACCTGTCTGAAACGAGGTGTCGCAGTAGATGATACCGTCCGGAATCGAAGCAGAGCTTGAACCTGTGAAGGAAACCTTGATTCCGAGAAAAGCTGTTACATCTGACTGATTTGCCTCTTGCATCCACGCGGTATTATAGGTGGAGTTGGCATAGAAGCTGCTGCACCAAGCTATGTGCAGAGTTATGACGCCGCTCGAAGAGGCTAGATCCGATTTCTGAATAGTAGCGCCTGGCTTCAGATCATCGCACATATTTTCAAGATCCTCTTCAGACCATCCACCACTCCCTTTTTGAGCGTCACATCCTTGATCTGTAAATAAGATACCAGGCATGGAGGTAACATTCAGATTGACGATCGGCTCGGAGCCGCCGGAGAAGAAATCCAGCCCTGCATCAGCGTCATAGTAGTCTCCTGTCCACAACCCATTGAACCACATCAAGGATCCGTTGGACAGCTGCGAGCTGCCTCTGACTTGTGGGAGTAACGCCAGGGAGGTGGAATTGGCGAAAGTTGTGCCTGATACCAGTCTCGAAAGCAGCTGGGAAGACCATGCACGGGAGAAGGAAACTGGTGTAATCAAAGCCACGAAGGAGATAATGAAAAAGACGAGGAACGTAGAGGAAGGGCGAAAGCGTTTCTTCACCATTGTAATTGTCCTAACTGCAAAGGGGAAGGGATTCTGCCAATCTCGGTCTGCAAGCCAGAAGAGCTCTACCCAGGTGCGAGGGGCGGTCTGCGGATCTTGTAACGCAGATATTGCAAGACGTGAAAGATACATCGTCGTTATCGGTAGATGACCTTGAGCGAAGACGACAAACATCACTTGCACCGTTTCTTTATCGAAATACCAGATGTTGTTTGCTCCTGTAGAAACTAGCCGCTCCAGTATCACAATCATTGTGATGATATACGCTAGCCATAGGGTGAGAAAGCAATGGGAGCGAGTATGGTACTTCAGTGGAGCTTGAGCACCAGATTCTTCGGCGTTGTTTGGTGTGTTGGCACTAAACCATGCTTTACACGCTGAGAAGAGAGAGAATCCTGTAGCACAAATTAATACTGTATCTTGAGATGCTGCAAATCGCTGCTCACGCATGCCAGCTATGCACTTGGTGTCCCGTACACGGTGGTCTTGGGGAGTGAGGTGAACAAGTAGACTTTGAGGACATGGCTCTGTTGATTCGGATTGATAAGTAAACGGTTTTCTTCCAAAGCACATGCACATGGTGAGCTTCGAACAACACAACGGCATGAAATATTACTGGAATAGGACTCCTCGAGGACTGCACGAGGCGTGCCAAGAAAGCTCTTGTATGTTCCATTCCGCGAGGCATTGGTATTAGATTCATAGATTGACGCCCATAATGAGCTGGTTTTCATGATAAGGAGTTCAATAATAGTCAACCCCGGTGTTTCTAAGATATGACTGTGAAGCTTATATAGAACAAGAGCATGCTGAGTGCACCATGCAGCGACAATTGGCACACGGAACCCGTTGAAGTGGAGAGACCCTACACACGATACAGTGCACTGTCCAAACCGTGACACGTAAATCGAAGAAGAATGTAGCGAAACCTAACACCACCCCAACTTTGTTCAAACATTTGCCAGGCCGATAGGCGTATAGGTTTAAACGAGCCTCCTTCTGCGAATCCCTGTAGTACGTTCCGCGAGAATATATATTGTTTAAACGATACCCAATTAAACCGATATTCAAACATGTCGAACGGAACTCGTAAAATACTGTTCAAACACTGCACGCGAGCACGTAGTCCGTTTAAACAGCGCCCAGTCGTTCGAACCTCGTTCGAACCGTTTGAGCTAGCGTCGTCGAGGCCGCTTCTGTGGCTCTATTCCATCGTCAGCGGTTTTGCTGTGTTTAGAGTGTTTAAACATCAGCTATTGAATCAAGCTTCGCCGTATAGTTTTGCGACTCACCGTGATCGACCGCGTTTTCGTGACTCGTTCCGGGGGGGCTCGATGGAGCCCGACAACTCGGCCTCATCAGCATCCCAGTTCACCATCAGAGGTGGTCGTCGAGAAGCCGCATGCTGCCAACTTGATACACCTTCAGCTGGCCAAGTTCCGCCGCATTTCAAGAACTTCTCGTGGGCCTCGGCTGCAAATTTTGCATACATAGCGGATTGGCGGTATGCATAGGCCTTTGGGCCAGGAGATGCTTCGCCATTCGCGAGGTCATCCCAAAATTGAACCATCCGTTTGAACCCGCAGATGGTACGGCAAAACTCTTGCTCCAGTATTTCAACCTCCTCCAACCATCGATGCATGAGTGCGCGAGCTCGATACCATTCAACACGTGCCACTGCCAAGGCAAACATTAGATCCTGCTTGTAAGAAGACGAAAATCATTGACCTTCAGCAGTGAACGCTGATTGTTCGCCTTCGGAGAGATTGCCTCGAGGGCCTATTCGCCAGATCCATCCAGGCTGCCTGGATCCATCTCCGAGGGTATGAGGGACAATTACATCCTTCATCCATGTGTCCTCCTCCTTCAGTGCGGGGAAGAGAGGATCACTTGGTGAGCGACCAAGCTTGATCATGCGGTCTCGTGCATGATTGTACTTAGCTATCCATGCAAGCTTGGCCTCGTTAGCAGACTGGACAAGTTTACCTGCTCGAGTGTTTTGCGCAATACCCTGAGCATGCCTGACTTTGTGGCGATAGACACAGGAATAATACCGTACGGCATGGCGGACATTTTGAAGGTAGTCGTGTGCCTCTCCAACGTGCAGGGACATCTCCTCGTCAGCCAGCTGAGAAAGGCCATACGCCTCTCGCTTGTCCGTGCCGTCAATGTCGGATGGAAGATACAGCACCTCATTCTCAGGCTCCGCGAAATGTGACTGAACAATGAGCGGCAATATCAGAGGCATGAGCGAACACTGCTGGCTACGCCATTGCTTGATCCCATATCGCAATTTTTGCCGTTCCTTGTCTATACTCAGCAGATCGGCTGCTGTCGGTTGGGATGAGAGTTTCGAGACCTTATTTCTGAGAGCCAACCTATGGAAGGCGTCAAGAGATCACCAAAAGTATTTAGATCACCACTTACTGCTGTTCTTCAAGCTTGAGACCCGTATAGAGGAATAACGCTCGGGGGGCTGCGCCTTTCAGCGCTCCGGCAGTAGCTGCCTCAGATTGAACCAATGAGGCGAAAGCAGATTTCTGAGAAGGAACTAATGCACGAAATGAGCCACAAGGGCATATGATCTACAGCTTGCTTGTACGTACCTAGCTGTTCATTGAATTGAAACACGCTATACCATTTTCCATTCCTAAGCTCCGGTTTCGTGGATATCGCAGACCACTGATCGACTAAATTTTGTCCGGCCTCACGGCAAAGATGCAGAAAGTACACACGGTGCTCCTCAAGAGCCTCGCGTGCCTCTGACAGCCGGGTATGCATTGATGATGCTGAAACAAGGGTTCAGGATCGCACTAGAGTCTATATAACAAAAACACTTACCCAGCTTCCGTATCTTTGTGAAATTGTAATCGTTCATAAAGTCTGTTAACGTGTCATGACGATGGCCGGCATTCATCTCCCGTGTGCTTCCGCCAGCCTGTTTTTGTTCAGACCAGCCACGCTCGATACTTTCTGCATCTGTTCGGCCACCACCATCGTTGTATGAGAAACCAAAGCGGTACGTGCACTTTTCAAGGTGCCCATCAACATGCATGCTTGGAATCCGTCCTTCGACTCCACGAACAGTCTTGACAAGCTCCGGAAATTGTACCTCAAAGCGTTGAACAAGGTTCACCATGTACTGGCATGCGATGTCGTAGCTCAACAAGATGTCGGTATAGTCTTTATAGTGCTTCAAGACCTGAGCGAGTGCATAGTCGGTATTGGCATATCTGAAACAATAACAGTCAGTTGTGTCATCGCTAGGCTGAGACAATATGAGGAGCCCACTTCTCTCCTCGTTCGAGGTCTGTCAGACCTCCATGCCGGAACAAGCCATGTCTTGCACACGTTACGGCAACTACACCGCTGGTCACCATTCCCTTGAACTTGAGTTTGTTCTGCATTTCAATCGCGTTGAACCTGGAGCAGGTAGATTTCTAGAATCAAGTTGTTAAGCTGCACCTCGAGAGAAGATTCGGATCAGCTCACCTCTTCGCTTGATTTGATCTTAGCAAGGTATGATTTGAAAGTGCTCTCGTCAGGGAAGAATGCGCGGCCAGCAACTAAGGAGATATCGTCGGGGTCATCCTTCTTGCTCTTGCGCTGCAGACCAAAATGGCCGTCGGCCGACAGTATAAGAGATCGAAGATGTCTAAGTCGTGTAAGATGCCAGGCTATACGTAAACTACATGGGCGTACCGATAATCATTGTCAGAGAGATCAAACTCGTCGGTGGTATTGAGACCCCTTTCGGGACATGCAAAGCAGGGGACAATGACACTGCCAGGCGGACGACCTGGAAGACAATTGTCTATTGCATGCATTTGACCACTGCGCTTGAGCATGATGAGGTATCGCCAGACGCGAATCACGCAGAGAAACTGCGGATAGATATCCTGCGGGGAAGTTGAACAGTTGGAACGAACAGTAGTCCAAGTGAACTCACCGGAACCGAGTCTGGAAATGCGTTGTTGCTCAGACGCCGGAGAGCAAGAACAAAGTCGTAGGCTGACTTCTTAGAAGTGAGACTATGCATGTGAAAGTCGCGGAGCAGGCTGAAGGTAAATGCCGTGGTCGGTTGGTCCATTGATGCTGGAAATAGCTTCGCGTCCATGAGCTGTTCAGCTCGGTCCCCATGATTGAAACAGCGACAGAATACGACACTCATTTGATGAACTCCTGATGTATCCGCAATGGTAAACGATATGTGTCGTTCCTCCGCCGCTTCAGGACATTTCCGTCCACCATGCCCGAGGTGCAGTGCTGGTCTTGCTTTGGGATCGTAGATACGCTCGAAAAAGCGACCGTTCCATGTTTCCGACCAATGAAATGGTTGGTGAATGTGTGATTCACGGAAGCAAGTAGTACATGCGGTCGTATACTGAACACAGTGTGAGCAGCGTGTATCCATCAATGAGCCACTCCCGCATGGGCAAGGCTGAGGGTCGACTTCGAAGTCGGGGGCTTCGTGACTGATAATACGGTGCAGCAAGTCGGTGGAATGCGCCTGAAACTTCTTCATTGTCACTGATATGCCCTGGATTCAATATATGTAAGTGAGCCATAGATGAGGAACCCCATGCGCACATATTTCCGCTTCTGGGATGGTATTTCCTCTGGATGCGGAAGTTCTGGTCCAGAAATGGGCTCGAGAAGTCCGGATTGGGCTTGCAGTAGCACAGATGGGGCGGATGGCCGATGGAAATCAAGATATTCAGTGCGACGCTGGGTGTAACCGTCCGGAGTGCTGTCGGTGAACACGAAGGTGGATGTGAATTCGCAGTCGTCGAAGGCCATATGAGATGCAAGGTGACTGTTGTCTGGCTGCGCCCGTTTCTGTTTCACCATTGTAGGGCTTGCAAAGGAGAGGGACGTGGCACGATACAAACGGAAAAGGATGAACGAGAGATTTGAGGGGCCAGCGGAGTGGATAATAATATGTGGCCAGACCATCATGTGGTGTCTTGCCACAGTCCATTCTTATTGTGGTCCACTAAGATGACGGCATTGCAAACAATTGTGAGTGGACAATGCAAGACAAGAAACCGATATCAACTTGAAGATGCGGTGATTCAGGCTTGCGCTCGTTTGCCAATTGCCGACACCAGCCGTGCTTAACAGCCATGCAGATTAAGTATATATCATGATATGTACAGTAATTACTCTTCATCGGAATCTACAGTCAAATCAATGATGTCCGTAATTGTGAGGTCAATAACATCCGGTCCGGTGAGATCAATTATTATCCTCTCCGCATGCTCGGTGGCACCCCGCTTGCTCACCGCAGTCACTGTTGCTACTTCATCTGAATCCGCCTCAGAGACTAGCTCACCGTCGAAGAGGTTCACTGCAGGAGGAGAATTAATGCGAGGGCGAACACGACGAAGTCGCTCCGATGTGTCACAATCCGGAGATAGCTTGCGCTTTGTGCTGGGGGACGATCCCGTGGTTGACGAGGGATAGAACGGATGGACACGAGGGAAATGCTTCTTGATAGGGTGTCCAAGGGCCGCCAGCTCTGCGGCAGCATGGGATAACCGGGCCTCTACATCCGGATGAAGTGGCATGGATAGGGACTGGGGAATGCCACACGGCTGGTGCCTATGAGCGGGCCTGTGGCACTGCAAAGGCGATTTAGCAACATATACGATCGGGCAAGTTCAAACATACCTTGATCCAGTACCTGCCCACTGACTCGAAGCGATCTCCCCAGCCATATGACAGAAGCGGCTGGCGGAACCAGCAGCGGCTGGCGTTTGCTGGGTAGGGATGCACAGCCGGACTAGCTAACTCTTGGACGAGCGCAACGTAACGCTGCATGCAATCCTTTCGTGCAGCTATCTGAGCAAGCTTGGAGGGGCTGGGTGGCATGGTAGTGGACCAGGGACAAGAAAGCTGAAGGTACAGATGGCTCAGAACTTATCACAGAACTATGTTTACCGTGACTGATATACACCGGCGCGACTCGTTGCATTGTTTGAACAAAGCATATGATACCTATTGCGGCAGTGAGGTGTGAAGAAAGACAAAGACGTGAACGATTGTGCATGCACAATGCAAAGACAAAGATACCTTTCCACGTTGAGACCACGCACGGGAGCCTAATTGTGTGAAAGGCAGAAAACAGGTGATGCGGTGCTCTGCAATGAGAACAACTGAGGACATCCCATCGACTAGAAAAAAATTCGGCGGACAGTCCGGCGGACAGTCGCCGGACAATCCGCCGGACACTGGCCATGTTGTATCGCCGTGCTTGTTGTCCTGGGCCACTGCGGCATGCCAACCGGTGTTCCGGCCCTCAGCCACTCCCGGTCCCACGGTCAGTAACTCGTTGAACGATCACTACATTGGCTACGCTGGTCTACTTTGTGTCTTATTACTAGATATTATTCACATGGACAATTGAGCAATATATACAGTATGCTATGCCATTCTGAAGTCACAAAATCCCCTCCTAGCGGCTTGAAATTCAACTTTGGCGATCAATAGATATCCCAGTTCTCACACTCAGATCACGCATCAGTTACCATTCTAATGTGCTCGTCCAGCCTGGACGGGTCGTGGGAATATTGCCTCAAGGGCTGCGTTCCAGCCAAAGCATCAAGTGGCCCATCGGCGTCGCATTGCCTCGCGGTGGCCAGGGGCGCATTGGACAATGAAGACCCAGGGCGCGTTGGACAATAATGGTCCGGAGCACGCGCCATTGTTGTCACACTGGGCCATCTTCGGCATCCTGTGGCCATCGCGGCTAATCCTTTCCCTCTAAATACTGGACCCTGTGCAGCGCAAAATTTCTCCTTAATATTTCTCTTGTAGAACAATATTATAACAAGAGATGATACAGGAGATTATCGAGAAAGATGCCGTTGAATTTGTGTGACCGCCGTTGTGCACTATTACCAGTGCGCTCGTGCGCCTTTCCGACAACCGTTGTCTTGTGAATATAACCCAGAGACTGCGCCGCTCGCGTACCACAGTCATATACACGACCCTGCAAATTGTTGCGTAAGGGATCATGAAGTCATCGTCTTCGTCGATGACCAGCTGCCGGCGGCGGTGGAGCTGCTCTCGACCCTCAGCCTCGTGCATGCCTCCGCCTTTTGCGCATGTCATCCTCCCGCGAGCCACCGCCGACGCTCACCCCGCGCCCGCCGAGCTCGTCCAGCTCGCGCTTCGCCCATGCCAGAAAAGTGATGGCCTCGCCCGCCCGCCCGCGCCCCGCCCGGCGCCGAGCCCGCGTCGACGCCGAGCCACTTGTGCGCCAGCACTGCGTGCAACGCGTGTTCGTCCGCCAAATACCATCTCAGCTCGCTCGCGACTTTGCCCCGTACGGCGCCGTCATCGTCCGCGTCGTACTTCCCGAGTCCAAAAGGATGTTTCGGCTTGTGCGATGCGCCGGGCGTCTTGGCAAGCTCGTGCGCGGAGGCGTAGGTCTCTACGCACTCGAGGTGCAGCTTTGCCACAAGCACCGGCGATGGGTGCAATTTCGGGAGCGGCGGGCCCAGCGAGAACGCGCTCTCGACCGTCACCTTCGTGAGCAGCTTGTGGATCGCGAGCGTCTGCGCGTCCACGAGCGCCATCCTGCGGGAATGCGCAAGCCTCTTTGCTGGGGTTTGTGGAGGGCGAAGGCTAGGCGGTTTGGAGGGCAAGCCCCGGTACTGTGAGATGCCGGACTGCAGCCCCGGTACTGTGAGATGCCGGACTGTCACCCATGGAGTTTGGTATGAGCGCGGGTGAAGGAGACGGTGGAGCGAAGGAGATGCGACTCGACGGCGTCTTGTCAATAGCTTGTATCGCGATTAGCGCCGAGGGGGCTCGTTGGGGTTGAATGATGGCTGTTCGCACGTGTATCGCCTGGGAAGGGCGCATGACTGCAGCACGGTGGGGTTATTCTGCGTGCATTGCCATCCACGAAGCTAATCATAGGCATGACAGGCGCAGAAGCATCGCTTTCATCTTCAGTTAGCGGTGTATCGTTGCAGGCAGAATGGACATCGTGCATACCTCGTGTGCACCGGACTTGAGTGACAGCAGAAAGCTGCGCTGTGATTGGAGACCTCTGTCGATAATGTGACACCCATCATAAGCCCTCATACCACCGAACTCCTGCCCCTCGTTTCATCGTGACTCCCGAATCCCGCATGGAGCTCTGAGGTTGCAATATCATCTGTACGCAGATTCCTGTGGCGTATCGCAGTCATCACAAGCAAGGGCTTCGAGTGGTATCGCTTTGGCATTCGATAAATCAGTAGCTGAGACAGACTGAGCCAACGCAACCGCGCCGATTCTCCTGAGATCCCTGGGGAGCTTTGCGTGGTCTTCGACAGGGAGCTTCACGCGGTCTTTGATGGTGAGCTCCGCATGGCCTCCGACGGTGAGCCCGCGCGTTCTTCGATACGGCTTCGGACTTTGCGGTCTTCGAAGGCGAGCTTCGCGAAGTCGTCGACGGGAAGCTTCGCGCGGTCCTCAATAGTGAGCTCCGCGCGTTCTTCAACATCGCTTCGCATCGTCTTCAATTACAGGTGCTGTATCCAAGTCCAAGGACGAGCGGAGGATGCTGTGCGTCAGTGGGGTGGGTAGGGGAGTGACGACGACGACGAGACAGCTATAGGGAGAGATGTGGCATTTGCCACATTTGAGGACTTCGTCGCACGGCGCATTCGCAAATCTGACGGGTCACATTTATGAACTGACTGAATACATTTGCTTCTTATTCTATGTATCAGTCCAGAGTTCCATGCGGCATACCATGGTGGCAGTGTCAATGTGATCAAACTTCTCTTGCACGACCTAAAGAGGACGTGTTCTGGGTCATGTCAAGTGCTCGCCCAGGTGCACGCGCCTCATCACCACACAAATATGCGACGTGGCCTGTGGGGATACCGTTGCTGCGGTGAGTGGCCAGCAGCGCGACAGCGCGTGGCGCTCACTGGAGACCTGGCGGGAAACGGCCTCCGTAGTCCAAGAGGCATTACATGGCAATGGCCCAGAGCGTGTTGGATGACAATGGATCCGGATAGTGCAACCGTAAGGATAATAACATGAAGTACGGTCCTTTGACTGACGTGATACGGTACATAACACGACTACATAACACGGCGCCTCTTCATTGAACCTTTTGATGTCGTCAGCCTTCGCCTCTTGAGGATACCCGGTAACAGTGCCTCCGATGGTGTACTGGGTGACGAAACCAAGGTTCGTTGAGAACTTGCTGATAAAGGTAACTGGGAAGAAGATGTGGTTGGCGGAGTGGAAGGCGTGTCAGATTGATTGACTTCATCGTCCAGGAAAAGAGCATTCTGGATGAGATGCGCGGTAGGAGGCACAACTTGCAGCACGGGGACTGGCAAATTCTCGAAGCTCTTGAGCATGCGCCGATGTCCCAATGAGGCCATTTCGAGAGCTGAGACTTGCATTGCATGTATAGCTTCGACTCCTGGGTGAGCGGACACGGTGACCCGCGTCAAGGAACATTCAAGATCCCGGTGCTCATACGATACACACTATGTGTGGTACCATCAGTAAAGTAGTGAGTAATCGAGATATTTGACACCAACGCGTTCGTAGTAGTAGCCGGCCAAAGGAAGGTATCCATCATATCCAAAGGACAAAGTTGTCTGGAAGACATGTCCATTTCTGTTGCGACGCGGATGCCTAGGCTGTTTTGCAGAGCGGCGGCATATCTGCTCGTGAACCATCTCCGCACCGCTACATGCAACTGCGCGGGCAATGCTCTCGGCGATGGTGAACATTGTGTGAAGGTGCTATCGCCAACAATGATCTGGGAAGGGGTTGAGCGATATGTGTCCAAGATTGTATCGTATTAATTCATACGCACCGACATGGCTTGCACAAAGCAACACTTTCCGGGGGCCGTTGGTCAAATCATCATGGCCTTGTAGATTAGCCAAAGCGCCGAAGTCTTGCAAAGCAATGTGGCCTTGTTCAATATGCAAGACGTCGGAGCCCCTGGCCTCTATCAGTGTGGTCTCCATGTTGCTTTGTCTACATGTAGAATACATATACACACCAGGGCCCGGGCTCGGAGTGCTAAAGCAAATTCTCGACGATCTTTATTCTCCATCTCCGCGTTCTATAACTTGGTCCCATGGCTCGTGGCGTCAAAGGCTACTTCACTGCTGCGCAAAGCCAGTGGTTCTCCGACCATAAGAAGGAGTATCTGGCGAAATGTGGCAAGTTCAAGACGACGGCAATCGGGGAGCCCACGCCTCTGGACGATGCGGACATGAAGGAGTGGCGTGACGCGCGTTGGAAGGAGTTTGTTAGTCTCTTCAGGGACGATATGAAGATGATCAAACATAGCGATGGTACTGACATCCGTGCTGAGGAATGGGAGAAAGTGAGGGTTCAACTCACGTCGACTGAAGGTGTAATGCTCACTGTTATGATGATGATTAGATGTACCAACGCAAGTGGATCAATATCAAGGCCACGTACAAGCCTCCCACGGAGCATGATCGACCGTTCTTCTTGTTCTCCGACACGGCAGCTTCCGACTTCACCGGGCGCGAGCTCTTTCGACAGGAAAACCATCTCAACATCAACACTGCAGCAAATGAAGAACGGGCTCGTCTGGGCTTGGACAGCAAGCAACATGCTGGTCTCTACAGCAAACACCTGTCCGCCGCCTGGAATTCACTGAGCGACGATCAGCAAGCTGTGTTCACGGATCGGGCAATAGCAGCCAGAGATCTTCGGTCTACGCTGCAGGCGGATACATCCACATCTCTTGAGGCTACGTACAGGTATATATTCGTGTTGTTTCGCTCATGTGATAATCTGATGTATTCAACAGGAATCAGCGTATCTTCAGCGACACGATCCGCCGGATCTTGTCAGGAATGATCGGCTATGGTCCGCAGAAAATCGGAAACGCAACCTTTCACCTCCTTTACACATACTGTGACGCCGACAACATGATGAAAAGTGGCGTGTGCGTTTCTCCTTCAAATACGCTTGCGTAGCTCGTCTGACACACAGAATAACAGCATAGATGTTCGTCCTGACCCCAGCATAGTGCCGTTCACAGAGAGGGTGCCAAACTTTCAGAAAACTACCAAGAAGCGGTGGATCGAATATTGTAAAGAGGTCCTCTACCGTATGTTCGTCTTTGTGCTTGTTATATTCAATGACCACTGAATCGCTGGGACAGCCTCTACTGTTGCCACAACCCCGAGTACCATGCCTTCGGAGCCGTCAAACATGCACACTGACGCCGCACCAAGTCTGGCGCTCTCAACCGCTCCAGCCTCGGATGCAACACCCTCATCTTCAAACAATGACATGAGCAAAACAGCTGCGCAGCTTATATCTGCATCGGGAAGCACTTCTACATGTGCCACTGCAGAGCCAGGTACTGAAGAGCAACCGGCTGCTCTGCGTACCACCGGAGAATCAGTATTGAAAGTTCCCCGTTCAATCACTCCTCTCACTCCTTTGCCATTGGATGACGAGGCGAACATTAATATGGCCAATACAGCTCACGGAGATGCACCCATTCCCTCCCCGGTGCCTCGCAGCCCCAAACGCCGCATTGATGCAACCGATTCCGAGGGAAGAGGTACGGTAAAACGTGCACGTGGGTACGTGAAGTCTGAGCTCCCATGTCAAAGAAGTGAAGCTGATTCGCCGTTGTAGCTCCCGCCCGAAGCCCCCTGCCGTTCATATCGCAGAGGCTGGTCGACCGAAGCGTGGCTCAAAGCCCGTGAACAAGGACTACATCAAGTCAGTCGCTATCCCAACAACGAAACGCCGATTATCTGAACGCTGGGTGTACGAAGAAGCGGATGAATAGGTATACCATACGATCTCCTCATTTCACCGCATCACGTCCTGTTTGATATCGTACAAACATATTTGGTGTTTGAACCTCATTGGTATATGGTGTCGTGTTTAATCTACCCGTTGTGTTCAAACACATCCGTTTAAACATCACGCGGTGTCGCTGTCGTGTATTCATACGTACTCTAGACAATTGTGTTCAAACATTGACGTTTGAACTTCTCCTGTGTTCAAACGCCTCCGTTTAAACATCATCCTAACTCATTCTCTCGCCGTTGTTTAACACATGCCTGGCTCTCTAGTTTGGACATCATGTTTAAACCCACGATTACACTCTCTACTACGGATCTCAGACTGAGAATCGTGTTTTAAACATGATCTGCACTCTCAAACGGCGAAGTCTATTCCGTTGGTGTTTGTTTGAACATATTCGAAGGGGTTACTGGCGAAACACCGGTTATCGCGGAGCCAATGTACGTGAGAGGGTTTTGAAACACCTGCTACCTCGGCGGCTCCAATGAGCCGATACCACGATGCAGATTTCACAGGCATCCACAATACATATCAAGTTACATGGGCCGAGGTTAAGGCGCCCTAGGCTCAACATGCACTATGAGCCCCAGAATGGGTTGCTACCACCCACATGATGGGGGATATCGACCGTTCACCCACGGTCTGGTCAATATGTGGTTGATTGAGGCCATATGGGTGATTGCCTTGGATCACTCATGGTATGGTCTATTGTATACAATCACCCACTGTATCTGTAAATACTATTGTCGGGCAAAGTCAATGGGTGATTTTCACCCACTGTACCAGTGGGTCGTGCCAGTGCTGACTGCACAGCAGCGGCAACGCGCGCGGTCAAGCTGCACAGCCCCTCGTCCAACTCATCTCCCGCCAATTGCAACAGCGCCAGCGAAGACGGTAGACGCAGGGTTACTCTCGCCATGGCCAAGGGCACGGGCCTTGGTAGAGTCATGCCACTCTCTGAGCCTGCTCAGAGAGTATGGGTCGGGAGATGGGGTGTGCGTCTATAGCGGTCGTGCCCACCGTTGCAAGATGAACCCCCGGACGACCTGGCATGCCAACCCCCCTACAATCTACGTGTCCTCGCAGCGCTGTGCGCATTTCGGACATGTTTGATATTCTGAGGGCATGGTACGTTCTGAGTTTTCCTCTTACCGTTGTAAAACCAATGCGCTCATACTTTCATCCAGGTGTGCCGTTCCACCCAACCCCGCATGCTCGTCACCCACGGTCTCGCGCGGCGCCGCTTCTACCCCCGCGCCCGCTATTTGCCCAGTACCGAACGCGAGCCGCCAACGCGGTCGCACTCGGGGCAGCTCCCAGCTTCCATCCCCGCCCTTGCTGTCTGCGAGCCGCCAATGCGGTCGCGCTCAGCGCCGCTTCTACCCCCGCGCCCGCCGTGCGCTCTTTCGCCCATGTCGTCAAGATGCGGTTGGCGAACGCGTAAACTGGGTCCTCCAGAGTCTCGCATCGACAGTGCCGACGGTGGTGTGTACCTCTGGAAAGAAACACGTAACTCCAATTGCTTTCCGTCCATTCCCTTTCGCCTCTCTCTCTCTCAGTACCAGCCACCAGCGATGGTGTATCGCCCGCCGAACGAGAACGACAGACCACCTGGCGCATCCCTCAGACACGCCAACACCGTCGCCGGCCTCGGCGGGAAGCAGAAAGGACCTGGCTCGCTCAGAAGGGATGCGTGCCAAAGCTTCCTATCCGGCTTTGAACCTGCGTCTGGACGCCGTCGCCAGCATGCTCGTCGCCGCAGCTGCCTCCACCCATGTGCCCACGCCCGTCACAGCGATCACCCCCAAGACGTCTCCACCGCCTACAGCAGTGGGCACGCCGTACGGCCACCCCGCGCGCTTGCCTCTCGCTCATGCGTACCACCACGTTCACGATCCCGACCGCGATACCTCGGACCCGGACTCACGTGAGTCCGCTATCTCGTAGAGCATGGCACACATCTAATGAATGCATCTCGTCGCAGTACGCACATCGTACGGGTTCGGACCCAGCCCCAGCGCGAGCTGCGCCAGCCTGACGTCGCTCACCACCTCATCAGGAAACACCCCCTCTGGCAATTTTCTACATATATACATACATAGTTCATAACGTAACTACATTCTATTCAAATTGTCACAAAAAAGCCTAAATTTCCTATAAAACTGTCAAATCATGACAGATGCTGGTCATTTTTTAGGACTGTCTTGTAGGTACAAGGGAATTTGGGATTAATGACATAGAAGGTGGTTGCAGTATCAACCACATTACCACCGGGCCATTACAAGGGGCTAGAAATCAAATTAGGTATCAGTGTTGGAGTTGGGGGTTGATACTTGACTGCTGATACCTAACGCTTGCATGGCCCCCTCTGTGATATTATATTGTCCCATATAGTCCTAGGTCATATACACATCCAGCATTTGCATCTGAAAATATGGATATTTCTGTAGCCCACAATTCAATTATGTGCCCTGGTTAAGTTCAATATGAAGTCATGGCTAAACACTGTTGTGATGCTCTATCCTCAGGTAACTGACTTCTCTTGTGTCCCATTTAACTGCCATTGTCAACTCAAGTATGTATGTATATGTATTTGGGATGGCTATGACATAGAGACACAGTGACCGACACGGACTTAGAGATTCGGCGCGACACGTCACGTGACCTGGTCGTTACCAATCTGCGCTGGCAAGTGCTCCCGGCGCCGGGCTTGCAAGTCTCCGCGCCCGTCCTCATCCCCGCCCCGACACTTGAAGTGCCCGCCCGCTCCGCCACCCTTCCACCCGCCGCCCCTGCCGTTTCCCATCCCCGAGCGAGAGCCGCCAACGCGGTCTCGCTCGGCGCAGCTTCCGCTCCCTGCCCTTGCCGTGTACCCATCCCCGAGTGCGAGCCGCCAATGCGGTCGCGCTCGGCGTAGCCTCCACCCCCGCGCCCGCCGTCACACCCCGCCCCGGGTACTTGCCCTGCCGCCTCAATCCTCGCGCTCACCTGTAGCCCGCCCAGTCTCGAGCGGGAGCCGCCAATGCGGTCTCGCTCGTCGCTGCTTCCCCCCGCGTCTGCCGTTCGCCCATCTCCGAGCGGTAGCCGCCAACGCGGTCTTGTTCGGTGCGGGCTCTCACTCCCGCGTCTGCCATCTGCTCCTCTCGGCGTGCGAGCCGCCCATGCGGTCTCGCTCGGCGCCGCTTCTATCCCCGCCACCGGCATTTGCTCAGCACCGAACGCGAGCCACCAATGCGGTCGCGCTCGGAGCTGCTTCCTCCCGCCGCGCTCACCTGTCGCCCGCCTAGCTCCGAGCGGGAGCCGCCAATGTGGTCTCGCTCGGCGCCGCTTCCACCCCCCGCATCTGCCGTTCGCCCAGCCTCGAGCGGGAGCCGCCAACGCGGTCTTGCTCGGTGCAGCTTCCACCCCCCGCCTGCCGTTCGCCCCTCCCCGAGCGCGAGCTGCCTATGCGGTCGCGCTCGGCGCCGCTTCCACCCCCTGCCCTCCGTTTGCCCAATCCCGAGCACGAGCCGCCAACGCGGTCGCACTCGGCGTCGCCTCCCCTCCCCGCCCTCTTTCGCCCATCGCCGAGCGCGAGCCGCCAACGCGGTCGCGCTCGCTGTATCTTCCTCCCTTCGCGCTCACCTGTCGCCTGTCCAGCCCCGAGCGGGAGCCGCAAATGCGGTCTCGCTCGGCGCAGTCCCCCCTCCCGTTCGGCCAGCCCCGAGCGCGAGCCGGCGTGGTTTGGCTCGGCGTCTCCGCTGCGCCAACGCGCTCGCCTCCACTGCACTAATGCGCCCGAATGCCTGCTCTTCCGCTGCACCCACGTGCCCGACATCTGCTGCATCAACGTGTTTGCTCCTGCTTGCGCTCGTGCGGGTGCCCTGGACTGCGCCAACGCGCCCCCCCCCTCGCTGTGCCCCCGCCATAGACTGCGCCAACGCGCTTGCACTCGGCTTCGTCAGCGCACTCGCTCCCGCTCGCGCCCGCGTGTTCGTTCTGGACTGCGCCAATGCGCTTGCTCCTGCCCGCCCCCGCGCCTGCCCACGGCTTTGCAGTTGTATGTCTCCTGTGTTCGAAGCTGCCCCGCTCCTGGCGTTTGGTGACTCCCGGTCTCTCGCATGCCACAATAGACGACTCCGACCCGTTTTATTCATGGCTCACCTGACGCCATCTCAGTACTCCACCCTCGATGGATGTGCCGCAGCCGATTCGACACACTCATCGAAGCAGACTCGTGTACACCATGACCGACTGAGTGTTAACCATAGAGCTTGTACAATGTCTTGTCTAAAATATCAATGCCATCTGTTGTGGTTCACATGCTCACTTCCACTGAACCCACATGAGATAGGATACAAGATTGAGTCATAGATATGTGCACAAAATCCTGCACAATGTAACTATTATACATGATGAATGGATGGAATGTCTTGTACATATGACCAAATTGTGGAGACAATTGATGCTACAGATCACCAAAATATGCCCAAAAAGTGCACAAATTTTAACAAATTTGTGCACATTTTGCCCAAAATGTGGCAGATGCTAAGGGGGGACCTTCTAGATTTCCTTCTTTTTAGACTTATTTGCTCCTATGTGCTCCTATGTACTGTAAAAGGCCCCAAAGTGGCTTTATCTGCATAGATAGTCCAGTTATTACTTGACATTTCCTCCCTTTATTGTACTAATTCACAGAGGGGGGGTTTCCTGATGCTCCGCCTCCTCGCACTACTCTCAATTGCAATCTCCCTTGCATACCCGCTCCTTTGTCGTCAAGAAGCCACTGCCGCCCACGCCAACCTCGGCGCCACCGCTCGCCGTGCCCTCCTCGCCTTCGTCAACGTCGCTCGTTTCCGTCTTCCGCACCGCATCTCTCAACCGCTTCCGGCGGAGCAAGTCCAAGGCGAAGGAGAGGCCCAAGAAAGAACCCGCGACACCCGAAGACACGGTTCGCGTCGACTACCCGTACATCGGCGCGCACCTCGATCGCGAGCGCTCGGCCGTGCCGCCCCCGCCCGAGTATGCATACACGCACGGGCTACCAGACCCGCACTTGCCTTTGCCCTCACACAACGTACGGTGGCAAGTGGCACACAGTCCGTTGGATGTCCGAGCCAGGCCACACCGTTCGCGCACGGACCCCGGCGCCGACCCCACGCCCGTCACTCCACCGAGCGAGTTCAGCGCTCGGTTTCAGGCCTGGGGGAAAGCGCGCACGCACCGTGCTCCAGCGACTCCAGAGCCTCTCAGCCCGCGCCGGGAGATGCCACGCTCGCCGCTGGCCACGCTTGCCCTCGAGGAGGAGGACCGTGCGTCCCGGGAGATCTCTCCTGCGCCCGACGCGGATGCGCCGCGGTCATCGACATGCTCGTATTCGGAGAGTGACGAGCAGCAGACACTGCGCGGACGTCGAGCCCCTCCTTGCGCCTTGTTGCCGCGTCCGCCGAGCGACCTGCCTACGTCCTTCCTCGACCTCGACGTGGACGAAGAGGCCTGCGCATCCACGTTGACGCCACCGCCGACGCCGGGCAGGCTCGACGAGCTCGTCCCTTCGAAGGACAACGTGCTGGTGTTCACGCTCGATGTGGGCGAGGAGGCGGACGCACGCATGGTCCGGCTCGACGGCGACGACGACGTTGACGTAGACCGCGATGGCTTCGGGCTCGAGGATGGACTCGAAATCCTCGAGCGTGCGCGTCCACGCTGCATGCCGTTTCGACCAGCACCGCCGAAGACACATCCCCCCCTCGTTCTTCAGGAGTGTGGCACCCCGTTCGATCAACACTCGCTCACCAGCAGCGCCGCGCAGGCGAGCAGCGGGCTCGCAATGCCCGAGGAGGCATGCCGGCCACGCCGCACGCCGTTTCGACCAGCACCGCTGAAGACGCGTCGCCCCTCGTTCTGCAGGAGCGCGGCACCCCGTTCTATCGACATCTGCTCACCAGCACGTCACCATTCTGAGCTGGTTCAATATCGAAAGCGCCAGCACCAATGCCACCGACACCGTCCTCTCAGCGCATGCGCTCTCCTCCGGTATCGGCTTCGTGCTCGCCTACACTGTGATCTACAAAGGCGCCTCCTTTGCCATACTCGCCGCCACCATCCTCATCTCCCATTCCTCCACAAAGTTAGACGTCGCCGATCTCCTCTCTGCGATGTACCTCCCCATCCCCTCTCCCACCATCCTCTCCGTCACGCCCTCGCACGCCCGCGCGCTCTCCGCCGCCTCCTCCTCCCCGCTCGCCTCCCCACTCGCCACGCACCACAAGCTCGCCGCGCTTGCTGAAGGCTTCGTCACGCACGACTCACTCTGGGGCCGGCTCGTCTTCGGCGCCGCGCGCATCAAAGCCGGTGGACGAACACCCGTCGGAGCTAGTGCACCAGCACGAAGTCCGCCCACCCTCATCGCGGAGGTCTACAGGCTTCGACAGGTCCCGAAGACGCTCGCCAGGGAGCTGTGGACAGGGAGTTGTCCACGCGACGCGTCGGTCGATGAATACTCACCAGAGCTAGCACGCCAGCACAAAGCCGGGAGCTGCGTCCACACGATGCACCGGTGGACTGACACTCGCTAGTCTTCTATTCAGTGAGACACTGTATGTACTATGAGAACAGTAATACAGGAATGTACTGCTACTTTTCATTGCCGTCCTCTGAGCTGCCGGCATACACTGCCCGAGCAAGAGTCCCACTCCGATCAATGATAGCCCATTCGTTGCTAGTCGGCACCGGAATACGTCCCACAAGGCATTGAATAGCTGTGACATCAACGACCTCAAGACGTCCGGTTCGTTCGTAGTAGTGGATATCGAGTCGGGGATGCCTACGAGTAACGTCACAGGTCCGGATTACCGCGAATAACACTGTCTCGTCTTTCTTGATCCCGAGGGTCTGAGAGGCGGGCAGACGTAACACAAAAATATGCTGTAACTGTCCGTAAAACGTGTGGTCTTCATATTCTGGCGCCCGACGACGCTGGTGTGCGTATTTGTCAACAAGGAGTTGATACTAAAGTATAAATTCTGTAAATCGCACGGACAGACATGAATGAGGATTTCACTCACACGGACATGAGAGGCGTCTCTGTGATCGTCTCCCAATGTCAGACAAAGGTTACTTGTGGATATCGTGTCACCATCGTTCAGAATCCGTAAGCGTCCATATTCTTCGAGATTGCGTGGAACAGACTTGCGGGCTGCTGTGATCGTGATGCCATAGCGTGTAGCTACAGCTAGGAGAATCTTCCCGTGGACATCTGCTGGAACTCCAGATGCCGGACGAAATGGTGGGATAAGTACACAAGTAGGATCTGTCATCACGAGGAAATTATCAATAGACCGGTGAGAGAGAGACCGAAGTAAGCTTACATCCGTCAAATGCGATAGCACCTCGTGGCGTCTTGGGCTTGCTGAGGGAGAGCTCTTCGTGGAGATTATACGTCAACATGATATGTGATAAACGTGCATCGTTGAGCACATGTCGGTTAATGCTTGCATATGGAAACCGACGGCTTGTGATGGCAGGTTGAAGCGAGCCACAATAGCGTTCCATTGGGAACGCCCATGAAGCCCAAACCGGACCAGTTGCTCGTATGCTGGCTGCGATGTGCAAAAGTCCATGAACCGTCACAGGACATGCCGATAAGCGTGAGGGGTCATCCTGGTAGTATATCCTATGCGACACGACTTCAGATCAATGAACGGAAAGCAGGACAATAACAGAAATGCATTTACCGTTCATACATCTCTACCCAAGCAATAAAGCCCTCGTCGATGGCCCGGATATCTGCGTCAGAATACTCGAAGGAGAGGCATAGGTCGAGGACCGAAACCAAGTCAATAAAATGCCGGTAATACTTCTCGTGCTTGAAGCGCCGATTGAGGAGAACAGGCCCAATGTATAACGTCCAGAAAGACCACGAATCAGCTGTGCATCCCGACTTGTCCTGGGCGATGTTCGGTTGACGTGGGCCATATGCAGATGGGATAGTACTTCCGCATGCTGCGGTAGCTTCACCAATGGCGTCCCAGACTCTCTTCTCGAGCTGATAATCCTCGGAGCCTGTGTTGAGGTCTTTGTATTCCCCGGTCCACAGCAGAAGCAGATTCTTGATGACGTTCTCCCAAATCAAATGCATGAAGTCGTAGGGGAATGACGCTGGAAAGGAGAGCGAGGTGAGGCAGCTCAGGAGCGGAACACCTTTGATGCCACAGGATTTTGCTAAACGCTCGCGTTCCGCTTCGGTTGACGCTCCCTCTACCGCTTCCGCCTGGTTCATGAATTCGTCATGCGAGCGTAATGGAAGGTCCGCGGGCTTATATACTTTGACAGCGTCCCGGTTTGAAATCACGTCGGGGTGCCGTTTACGTGACAAAGGGACATAGTGTGTTGTGGCCCGAGAGCCAGGTGTCCTCAGTCCATGGATATGACAGAACCGGCATGGTGAAAGTCCGTTGTGGCCCTTCATGCGCATGATCATTGATATCGCTGGTATGTCTCCGAAAACAATGATTAGGTATGCGTGGAGAGGGAAATAACTGCCGGACAGTGCGTCGTAAGAATGAACCCCGATCTCGAGCCGCAAAAGTTCCTCCACCAATGGCCACAAAAAGGAGTCGAAGTCGATGGGCTTCTTTGGTCCAGGGATGACACCGACAGGGATGATGTTTTTGGCGTGAAATCGAACCTCGGGTGGTAGGTTATAGTTGAAAAGGATGAGGGGCCAGGCTGTTTTCTTCCGACGTTTGTGTGGTGCAAAGCCGTCGGATGAGAGGCCAAGAGCAACATCTCTTGAGTCGGAGAAGAAATCATGGTCAAGATTCCGACCATGAATCGAGACACGTGTACGGCAGAGATTTTGATAAAGATCCCCATCGAAGATGTCAGTCATCGTTCCAGGGACATGTGAGTGCTCGCATGCACGGTATTGCATCTTCTTTGCCATGTTTGGGCATGCCAGGTATGCCTTGAGACGGGGCGTGAGCGGTAGGTAAGGGAATTGTGATCGTGGGCGTCCGGCGGCATCATATCTTGATTCCTTACAGTAGGGACAAGCGTCGAGGGTGGAGTGAGGGCCGACAAAGCAGCAGCAAGAGTTCGGACAGCAGTCGTACAGGACAGGGTCTAATGCCGACAGAACGGCAGCTCGTGTTTGAGTAGTCTTCCACGAAGGTACATCCTGGGTCGGGAATGCATACGGGAGTTTCTCGAATGTGTCTGTCTTCATATGCGTCGTGACCTTGAGGGCGAACAGTCGAAGGATAGCTAGATCTCCTTCATCAAGCTGGGTGCCTACAGGACTAGTGAGAAAATGTTGCGAACATGTACTGCAGCTGATTTACCTGCGGCGCGTGCTGCATCTTCGAAACCCTCCTTGAGGGCTTCATACGCTGTAATGGGATCGAAATCCGCATCATTATCCTCGTCTTCTTCATCAATTCGAAAGTCCTGATTGTCCTCATCATCCTCATCATCCTCGTCATCTTCATCGTCCGTAACCTCCTCAACCCAAGGCTGTCGGCGACTCCAGATGCCCTCTTGCTCGGTAACAGCATCGTATGTTGAAGCAGGATCATCGATGTCCATAGCAGTCTCCCCAGGCGGTTGAGCTAATTCCTCGATCGGCACACCTTCGTCTCCGTCCACAAGAGACATAGATCTGGATGAGCGGCTGAGAGTGTGTCGTAGAGCATTGACGGCATGGGCTGTGGTATGATGTACAGCTGACCAAACGTTCTGAACTCGCGCTAGCGGCTGCGGAGCAGTCTTTGCCTTCCGATGGCGTAGATCCTCACGATCCCCGACGAGTTTGCCACATCCACAAGAGCAGATGTGCTTCTTTGGGCGTATGGTTGTGGGCTTGCGACCACCACGACGACCAAGCATATAGGAGTATTCCAAGCCTGCGGACGCCTGCGAGTGCGTAAGTAAGCGACACTGTAAGATATACGTGGGTCCGCACCCGCCACTCGTCTTGTTGGTTGTAAATATGCTGTGGCGGATCTTCGGGTGCTTATGGAAGCTGTAGCGATGTTGATGGAGGCGTATCTCCGCGGACGGCAGTGTTGGAGGTGAAAAATCGTGATTGTACGCCTGCGAGTGCGTAAGTGAGCCACACTGTAAGATATACGCAGATACGCACTCGCGGCTTGTCTCGTTGGTGGTATATGTGCTGCGGCGGATCTCTGTGCGCCTGTAGGAGCTGTAGTGCAGTTGTAGCAGCGTTGGTGGAGGTACAGAACACGGCGCCAGTGATTTCTATACAATCTGGTGCACCGGCACGTCTGTGGGTGCGTGTAGGTGTAGTTTGCAGTGTCGTCGTAGCTGGAGGGCACCTTGGCACACTGGAAGCAGAATGAGCAAAGTCCTTGCAGGCACCTACCCTCAAGGAAATGCGACCAGGAGCCAATCGCATGCTGCAGATTGCAAATCGGTCACTATTTTCTTCACCTGCCGCGCTTTGCGCCCCACTCCGCCTCACCTTTGACTCACCACGTCTCTATCTTGTCATGCCTGTCATCGATGATGAACCCAATGTCAGGTATGGACAGCACAGTTCCCAAAGGAGAAATACACACCTGACATTGGTTGATTCCCTGCTAGCGACGACAGTGACAGCGGTGAAGATAACCTAGATGCGAACGAAGACGACATAAGCTACAAGGAGCTCTATTTGCGGGCAAACGGCGAGTCTTATCATTTCCAAACACAGACTTGACTTGCCGCCAACCTATCGTCTAACAGCGCGTGCGGAGAAGGAGAAAGCTCGCCGTCGTGAGCTTGAGAAACAAGCAAGCAATGAGGTTGGTGCCGCCGGCGCCGTTCCTGCGGTCTTGCGGGAGAAGATACCTCGGCCTCGAGGCACGGCCGGAAACAAAGGCTACAGCCTTCAGGCAGAGATGAGGCTCACCGGAAACGCCGAAAAGAACGAGCTCTATCTCGGTATATGCGTCAGTATCAGCAGTCAGTTCTTGTCGTTCATTTCGGCTGATTGCATGATGGTGCACAGCGGAACGTGCGAGGCCTAGCCATTGCTGCCCAGCTTGATTGGCGTATTCCCTTTCGGCGTCAACCTAAAGATGATATCGCAAAGATCTACCGAACTGTCAGTATTGTACCACATCAATTTGACCAATTGCTTACCTCTTGTCTTCAGGCGAGGGAGTCATGCGAATACCTCAAACAGTTCGATGGGTGCTGGCCTGTCGATGAGATCATAGCTCAGCATTTCCGAAACAAGCGAAAATATGGTACCATAAAAGGCTGGTTTACGAATCCTCGAAGCAATAAGAGACGGACACTGTAAGGTCTTCATGAACACTGTATCTTTTTTCAAGCACTGAAGCCCTATGCCACAGCGAGCGCGATTCAGCCAGACAGGCTCAAAATGACGAAGACCGTGAAAATCGTCCTCCAACCGAGCTTCCAGCTTCACGCACTTCCTCCTCCGATACAGCAGCAGTCGCACAACGGCCAAAGCCTCGTGCAACGTCGACGAAGCGCAAGAAGACGCAGCCAGCGGCCGCAGTTCAATCCGAGGCTTCCGAAGGTCAGGCGCCGGAAGCTGCTTTACGCCGCAAGCGAACATCGACGAGGGCCGCGGGCAAGCAGCCTGCAACCTGTGCAGGCACTGCAGCTGTGAGAGCTGAATGAGCTCCAGTCATGTATATTTCGAGGATCTTTGATGTGGTATCGAGACAAAGAGTTCCGGAGTGGATAATACAGTCATTGAATCATAACTGAGCCCTGTACAGTGGCCGTAAGTGCGAAAGGGACGAGAGCGCAGGCAAACGCGGGGAACAAGCGCGAGCGCGGCGCTGGCGCGATCGCGATCGATCGGTTCCAATTTGGGCAAACCGTGCGACCGGCGAGGCCAGTGTACAGTGTCCAGACGTGGGCTATACGCACAGCCCATAGAATGGGTGATCCTGATGGGCGAACGCTCGTACACTACGTGTGGTTTAAATCGGACATACACTGGATGAAAACCATCCATCGCACTTCATCCACATGACTGGGATGCACCTCCCATGCTCTGGGTGAGATCAACCCACTTCGGTGGGTAAAATATTGGTTGACTTTCAACCATTCCGAGTAGCACAGTGATGACTCCCACAATATGTAGCCATCAACGAGTCTGGCTACTTGATGCGGGTGTCTTGCTCATCATCTTGGCGCGCTTTAATAAGACTCTGTTTGGCGGATTGGAATGCACGTTCCAAACATGGCACGGCTTCCTGCGGTGTCAGCTGGTCCAGCGACAGGTCTGACATTCCAGTGTTTGGAGCACCGGGGCTCATTCCGACCATGATAGACTTCACGAAAAGCGTGAGCATTGTACAACGTTAGACTAGGCACCCTGATTTCCCGTGAACGTCCTCTGGTGTTCCGAGAATATTGCCGGGACAAATATCCCCGTGCAGAACGCCGCAGAACTAAAGGTCTTTGTGTCGTGCAAAGATCCGACTCAGTGAGAGTAAGAGTCACCCATTACAGATCCCAGCTCACCCTAGATTGCGGCGCGCATGCCACTCAAGAGGGCAGAAACATTATGGAAGTGTTTGATGATCAGGCCTTGCGTCGTGATCTGCAATATAGTGAGCGAGTACTCCCTATACAATCATGCAGTTCAGCACGAGACTTCTCGTCGAGATACTAACAATTTCAGCCTTTAACCGTGAGTGGAAACGTGCCATCGCTCTTCTTCCTGGCATTGTCAATCGGAGCAGGGTGGGGTGTTCGCAGTCCAGCGCCGAAAGGTACTTCCAGTGAATGCGTTCAAGACGGCACAGCCCCTCTGGAGAAGCGAGCCCGCGCATCGCTTGATACAGCAGTGCCGCGATACGACTGTGACGTTACCTTAACGTTACTTACCTCGCTATTGCACGTCGCAATGCCTTATACGGAAAGCTCTTGAACCAACACAGTGTTCAAGATTATCGGAACAGATACATATGCTTGCCGTTCCAAACCAAGAACATCAAATCTCAATAGCCAGTAATTCTACGTCGAGCGGGATCCATCGCCGTGCAGACGGCACCAGAAAGCAACATGCAAGGGTGCATCGGACACGAGACACTCTCAGCCTACAGTGAAGCGCTGTGATTCCGTCTCAGTGCGTGGGGAATGGCGTCCCGCTCGCCACGCTGAGATCGCCCGTACCTCCGCTTGCGGTCGAGAGCACACCGCGGCTCTTTGCTCGCGACCACCCCAATGTGTCCGACCGGTTCGTCCGCGCGAACGTCAGCGACGCATCCGAACGGAGCGTGAAGCTTTGGGTTGCTCTTAAGCTCTCCGCAGCAGTGGCCCTCCACGAGCTCGGGGCTGTCGGCGAGGAGACGCGCGGCAACGTAGCTATTCAAGCTCCCGCCGAAGGTGGGGCGATACATCTTGACGGTGCTGTATACCAGGAGAAGAAACCAACCGGCTATGGAGATGAGGGTGGCAACGATGTAACGCGGTTTGCGGCGCCATTGAACGATGTCCAGAGACTCGAGCATCGTATAATTCAGATGCACCGGTGCCTCGGAGAGAGAGGCGAGGCTTCCAGCCATGCAATACGCGACAGAGTCGATTGCGCTTGCGACATCATCGATGTTGGGCGTGTAATCGTAGTCCTCGTCGTCGATTCCGATGTTCAACTGGTTCAGGGTGGTGTCCGCGCTGCCGTTGTTTCCCCCCAGTTGCGTGATGTAATATAACGCAGCGTACAAGGGGTGATAGGGGACATCGGATTGAACTGATGCTGCGTCTGTGGGCGGGTGATGCTGAAACTTGCGGAATGCGGCGTCGTAAAAGCTTTGGTAGACGACGTCCGCCGTTCCGGACGAAATCGAGAGGTCGCAGCGGATGAGGCCGGAAACCAGCGGGGAGCCGCCATTCGTGGCCGTAACCGCGATAGCGGCTGTGGCGGACGCATTAGGTTCGCTCATCCAGCGAGCGTTGTACGAAGCATTGGCGTAGAAGTTGCTACACCAGCTCATGTGGAGGACGATGCCGTTCGATCCGTTCAACGTGGATGAATGCCACGTTTCGTTGAGGCCTGTGCCATCACACCATCTCTTTAGATCATCGTCAGAATTGGATGCTGGACGTGATGCGCCTTTCATCGGGAAACATCCCTGGTTCCGCAACAAGAACCCGGGAATGGATGTGACGTTCAAGCCGTAGACAGACCCTGACCCTGAAAAAAATTCATCATCGGAGTTCTCGTTGTAGTAGGCCTGGATGTCCGCCCCCTCAGTCTGGCCCGTGCATAAGGCCACGCCAACCGACAGCTGAGATTTGGGATCGACCTGCCCGAGCTTGTCCAGCGACGAACAGTTGGCTGTGATGGTCCCGTTGACCGTCATTGACTCCGATTGTGCTGGCCACGCTCGCGACATGGTGATCGGGGTGATCGTGGCAAGGAGGCACGTCAGAGAGAATATGGCGAATGTTGGGGAGGGAAGAACGCGGCTCTTGACCATCGGCATCACGAGGAGGCCCAGGGAAACTGGGTTCTGCCAGTTCCGATCGGCGAGCCAGAAGAGTTCGGTCCAGGAGCGAGGTGCGGTTCTGGGATCGTGCAATGCGGAAATCGCGAGTCGCGAGAGATGCATCGCGGTAATAGGAAGGTGGGCTTGGGCGAATATGACGAGCATGACCGACAAGCTTTGGCGATCGAACACCAGTATACCATTTTCTTCTCCGGTTGTGGCAAGGTGGTCGAGCAGTGCGATCATCACGATCGTGTACGCCAACCATATGAGTAGGAAGAAGACCGAATGAGGGTACTGTTTGAGTGAAAACCCGTTCGTAGGGGAATCGTCCGAAACTTTTTCATCGAAGATGGATTGATCGCCTGAAGTTGTAGGGGCTGGGGGGTTTGTGTTAGACCGAAGTCAATAGAATGATCATGGATATTGCTGACCCATCATGCGCTGTTCCCCCTCGTCGATGTAGAAAGATAGAGCACACGGCAGAGTAAGGAGGACCGAGTGGAGGTATTGTCACTCCTTCTTCCTGTACTCGGGATAGGGGGATATTTACATGCGCCTGCAGCCATACAATGTATGCCTCCCTGGATCATCATGGCATGGCATTGCTCTAACATGCATGCTAGAAGCGCCTGAGAACATCGAACACCGGCCTATAAGCACCTTACATACAGACGATGTACGCATGATTGATCGGAACCATGCATTATTCTTGCCTTGGATTGTGCTGGGCAATCTTCTATGAGTACGTGAGCCCACGTGTAAACCTTGACTTTCTGATCCTGCCCCCTCGAGGACATCCGGTGGATAGAAAACACCGAGAGGCTGCTATCGGCAACGTTGCGCCCGCAGTTGGACAGTAAAACGCAATACAGCCATCGCACGTATGGCAATGTTTTCAATGGATCTAGGGAGAGAGATAGCACAAGTGCCCAATATATGTCTAACTTACACACAAACAACCCAATGACAGCGCATATGCGCCCATCGTGCAGTACTAATGAGACGTGGGCACTGTCGAGGCTTCCGATAAGCTCGGCGAGTCTTCGAGAGTCGAAACGATTGTCTTCACTGCGCATCGAGAGTCTGATTGGGGAGACTAGCCGCAATTGCCAGTTGTGTGAGGTGAACGAGCTGTTAAGCGCCCGTTCGCCACCCGCACGCGCCACGTGTATAATCGAACAAGCGCTCATCAATATGTTGCTCCGCCATCGTCATCGGTTTGTCTCCGTCCTCATCATGCTCCGGACAACGTCCATAAGGCTGCGAGCTCATGATGTCATAGCCGTATCTCCTCACAAAACGGCGGCGCACAACGCGACTTGCTGCCCCCCACACCACCTTCGTCCTACACGTTGATCCAACATGTCGACGCAAGAGACACCCGCGTCGTCTACTGGCATCCCCGCCACCGGTGAGACAGTCCAGAGTAGAGATATCAAGGGCAAAGCGAAGGAACACCTCGACGTGGCGACCTCGAAGATCTCGGAGGCGGCGTCACATCCGCACGTTGTGAAGGCTAAGGTCGAGGCCCAGCACGGGCTCAAGCACGTTCAAGTCGCAGTGACTAGCCTGGCATGGCTTTGGCCGATACGAGGAATAATCTTCGTCGTGCAACGTAAGCCAGCACACAACGCGATCCACGAAGGGCATATACTGACAGACATGCTGTTCACAGACCCTCAATTAATCAAGGAGATCAAACCAGCACTAGCGAAATCCCTCCTGGCATCTGTAGTCGCGTTCGGCGTATTGATGTTCTTCACTTACTTGCCGCAAGCCGGTGCGTTCGACGGAGTTTCTCGCCCATGGATTCATGAGCTGAATTCGCCCACAGCCATACTCTCCATCTTCACTGGCCCGCTGGGTCCGATCCTGGCCTTCCCAATCGTCGCTGCTGAATCCGTTATACTGCTCTACTTGCTGGCTCGACCGTTATTCCTAGCACCCGCATTGACTGAGGTCGGCTTGAGTTAATTATATGCAAGCGCATATACCCACGTATTATCTGTGCAACAGTTATTCGACGCTACGCTTCGCATCAAAGGTCAAACCACACTGGTATCACAGGGAACAAGTCGCATCCTCGCCTCGGAACGCAAGAAGGGCATCGAATCTGCGCTCGTGAAGCCATTTGCACGCTTCACTCCCGAAGGCATCTTCAGGTACGCGTTCTGTCGTTCCCAACATTGATGGTTTGACAGACTTCTTGGTTGTGATAGATATGTGGTTTCGCTACCTTTCAATTTTATCCCTGTCGTCGGAACCGTCTTCTTCCTCTTCTTCAACGGCGCCAAACAAGGGCCCGGCTGGCATCAACGCTACTTCCAGCTCAAAGGGTTCACGAAGGAACAACAGGCCAGCTTTGTCAAGGAGCGCAAGGCCGAGTACACTGCGTGCGTCTCCCTTTTCTAACGTGAAATGTCAATGGATATGCGATGCTGATACCGTTTCCGTAGATTCGGCACGGCGACCCTGCTGTTCAACTTCGTTCCATTCATCGGGCTACTGTTCGCGTTTACGAATACGGCGGGCGCAGCCCTGTGGGCAGCGGAGATTGAAGCGCGTGCTAATATACTCGAAGGGGAAACCGCAAAATCGAAGTAACAGATTGGTTCGTGTGCAGATTGCCGCCTAGGACCATGCAAATACCATACACGAAGTACCGCGAACTAGGTTTTTGATACTGTTCAAATGCAACATCATGTACCGTATGCTGCTAGCTGTAATCGTCTGATTATCACGTGAACGTCGGAGCACATCGGGCGTTGGCGAGAGTCCATGACTTCGGCGTTCAGTAGCGTCCAGCGACCTCGGCACACCTCCATCCTTGTGTTGTCTCACCCATTGTCATGCCTAGAGCGAACTCGACGCGTGAAACGTCCAGGCCATCTGCCAAGAGTCCACCATATTCCCGCCTCTTAGCGCGGGAGGCAATAACGATTTGGTCGAGAACTCGCGCTACACGTAACGAAGTCGCCAGTCCTACCCATGGATAGCGTTTCATGGGAGATGCACTGTATTGAAAGCCTGAGTGCAACACCGACATCGCTCTTTACTTGGGGAACATGCTTATCTTCAGAAGTTATGGGGCACGCAAACCAAGTTGACGCAGTGGGAGGAACTCGAATGCGTCGCGTGAGTGTTCTCAGTTTGCGTCGAGGACTACCTCGGGCTGATAACTCACATCTCAGCTTGTAAGCAATGAGGGTCACGCCGAGAACGTGCGGTGTTTCTATGGAACATATTTTGGGCAAGCTCGGGGGTACGCACGAACGCCGTCGCGAATCGATCGCGCAAGATGGGATCGTCCGTTTGACTTGCCCAACGACTCGCCGCCACCATCGTGACGCCGTTCGCGAGCCTCTATCGATATCCCTCACGTCTCGGTGGCACAATTTCGACATTCGGTTCGGCCTACAAGCGCGATCAAGACGTGGCTCCACGCCGTGTGACTGATCACACGAGCGCAAACGCTAACGCGAGGCGCACAATAATGGTCAACTCTCGTGCTCATGCATTCATCGTGATCTTCTACCATCAACATGTACAGATGCGAATTCCGGCCTCGAGGAACTCGGCGCACTTGTTCACGAGCGGGGACCCTGGGTTATCTGAATGAGTTCAGATATGTTCACCAGTGGACAACTAAAGCTTGTACAGATCTAGAACCTTCTTATCCTTCTGTTCCCGATTGTCCCTGAACGGCGCCTTATTGCCGTCCTGGAAGTAAAAGAGGGAGGATCATCATGGACACCAGACACCTCTCTCCTCGAACCTACCGCCGGGACGACCACAACAGCGACCCCGAATTCCCGGCTCGTGCGCCCGCGAAGGGAAACTTGGTATACGTCACCGTTGCGACATTCTCTCCCCAACGCCGCGGCAAGATCGGAACAGAACAACTTCAGGACACCGTCCGCCTTAAGATAGCTATCTTTCCGTGTCATCTGCTGGGTTTACGCGATTGGCACCGTCATATCGGCTCGCTTCTCGGTTGTATGAAAATCGGAAGAAGACGTCGATTTGCTCAGAGACTCGGAACAGGGAGCGGAGGCGCACACACGTCTCTGATTTAAACACCTTTGAGACGTGCAGGCAGGGTCTTTCCGAGCCTCGACGTTCAGAGTTACATTGTGAACACGCGCGTAGGTTGCTGTTTTTCGGTTGTCGCGGTTGTCGCTCACATTTTCCCTGCGTGACAGATATTCACCATCGCCATCACCATCATGTCCAACTACACACACGCTACTCGTTCGCTCGGAGCAACTGGCCCGTTCGCCAGCAACATCGTCTCCACTGATTCTAGGAACCCAGGATTCGCAGCGTCTCGTACCACATTTCCGGGCGATACCCAGCCGGTCTCAGACGGGCGTCACCACCACCACACGAACGTTCGAAAAGATACTGCTGGTCCTTTCACCTCGTCGCACTTGGACGCCGTCCGCCCGCCCTCACGCAAACGCCATGTGTCGCACTTCGAACGTCCGAAGTTAGCGCTTGCCGTCACCGCTCCCGGCGGCATGAGCTCAGGACCGACGCAGATGATCATCCTCGACGGACCGAGCGGCGGGGATAGGAGTACCAACCCCGTGGTTCTCGAGGAAATGCGGATGACGTACGAGCAGGAAGAGGGGCACGTCATTGGCACCGTTCGCGTCGGAGGCATCGTGCAGGAGAAGCGGGTCATCGTCCGCTTCACGTTCGACGACTGGACGACAACCAGCGAGGTGGCTTGCAGCCACATCTCTACCGCCACCACCGAGTTGGGCGTCGTCGAGCATTACGCCTTCCGTATCCGGATCCCCGAGCGTAACCTGGAGTCTAGGGTGCTCGTCTTGGCGGTCTTGTGTACAGCCGGCGGGACGGAGATCTGGGACAACAACAGTGGGAAGAATTATAGGGCCAGATTTCAGGCCGCTACTCCACTTCAGACGCGTCGAGACCGGAGGAACAGCGAGAGCGCGAACATCAGTTCCACGCTCCGACTTAACACCCTCGCGCTCCCCGATTTCAGGGCGGCCGGCCCCGAGGTGGATTCCCCATCACCAACCGAGAACGACAAGGAAGATAACTTCGACTTCAGGAGCGACGTACCCCTATCCAAACGCTACAATTTCGGAATGTCGAGCCGAGCGACCTGGCGTCCCACCAGCCCATCCCTGTCACCGTCGCCGTCATCCCCGACCTTATCCAGCCCCACCTCTCCAAACGATCACTACACCTTCTCATCGCGTACCAGAAGCCTCGACGGCATGCCCCGGCCCATGATACGTCGCTCCGCGACATCGTACAGAGGTTGGCAAGGGATAGGGTTCTCCCAGCTCGCGTTGGGCTCCCCTCGCGAAGTGGACGAAGATGCTTATCGTACAGCAGGCTTGGTTCCGCTGGAGGACGACGACGTGCCTTTTGCCAGGCCGGCCCCGAAACAGCGCAGCAAAACCTCGGACCGCGGATACTTTGATTTGAAGCGCACAGTATCGCAGTTTGTGGACGTCAATCGTCGTCATGATGCAGGGGGAGATATGAATGTGTAGCGGAGTCCTAGAGCGCTAGACCAATGCTGTGTAGAAAGCACTGTGAAGCTCTGATGCTTGACAGATAGACCGAAAGACGCGATTGCGGAACATGATCGTTGGCCTTACGGTATCAACGCCCATCGCTGGAGGCCAAGGAACGTCCGAACGCGTTCCAGTCATCGAGTTGCAAGAAAACGCTTTGGTCGACACTGGAAGGCGTCGCGTGCGTAGACCCCGAACGCGTACGTACATATGTGCGCCAGACATCGGTACCCTTCGTCTTCTTTCACCGTGTCCTGCCACCCCCTAACATGGCCATACACGTAGGTCTGGGACGAGGTCACATGGACTATATAGTATGCATGATCCGCTGACCCCGTTGCCGACTGCGCGCCGGCGCCAGCGAGCTCGGTTGGCTGCGCGCCATGATATCGTCCTTTCGGACCTATTCGCAATGCTTCGTTCCGAGATCCGTTTCGCTTCGCACTGCCCACGACCGCCTCAAGTACTCTGCTACAAGCAGAGTAAGCTCTGCCTAACATGGGATCCGCTCTCTCATCACGGTTGCCGCATCGTTAGACCTCGGCCGGCCATGCAATAAGTATCCAAGATCGCAGTCATAACGGTGAAGAAGCATGATAGGAACCCGCACGCAGGGGCAGACTGTATGGATGCCTTACGCCATGGGTAAACGACTTCTCCCGAGATGACGAAGGGTTTTACGATCATTCGTCATGCACAGATGTGTGCTGTTCTCTTTTGCACCCTCCAGGGACGCTACTGGGCAACAGGATTACAAATTACGCCCTTTACCGCTGGTTCACTATATGTCGAGGCGAGGGCGTAGCGGCTATCACGAGACTGCGCAAAAGATGTCATCGCAAGTGCAATGCATGATAGTCTCGGTTTCTGTCTGCGTCGCCGGCTCGGCGGTGCCTTCAAGCTTGGCCGCACGGGACTACGACAACTTCAAATCTATCAACCTGTGTATATCTATGCCCACCGGGATCGCCTCTAACTCAATGAAAGCAGCGAGCTATCAGGATTCTCAGTTCCAAGTTTTATGCGTTCATTCCGGAAGAAGGTCGAGCACTCCGTCTTTATCCTGCCGAAATCAGCGAAGAGATCGATGAAGTGAATATATGGAGTATGTTGGACATGATAACCAGAAGGAATGCTCATACACGATTCTCGTTCACCCAGCTTATAACACAATCAACCACGGAGTTTATAAAGCAGGGATGTCTACAAACCAGCAGGTATATGGTACGCCACGACTATCCTAAAATTGAGTGGTACATGGAAGCCATCGTGACACGAGATGGTTAACGAAAACGTGATGCATCAGCTGGTGCCGCAACCTCTACCGGGACCATTCAGCCTTCAAGGAGTCGACAGACTTCGATCACATAAAGATGGGCTATTATGCCCCTGCTAAACTCAAACACAGTGATGTTGTGGGGAGAGGACCTTTCCTAGATGTTCTTCGGGCCTTTGGGCTCCTAAACCCTATTTCGTCTTCGCGAATGGCACAGTCAAGTCAGACAAACGCGTCACGCGATTTGTCATGGTCGCATTCGTTCTCTTCAGATCTTCCAGATGTAAAAAGCTGCAATGTAGAATATACACGACGTTGAGTACACGTAGCGCAGCGCACGAACGTCAAGCAGAAGAGGAGCACCAAGTGGTCGTCCATAGAGGCAATAAGGTATAGTAGCTAGGTGGGCAATACAGATAGTACTGGGTAAGAAGAGCACACAATAGGCGAAGAACCGAACCCGTCATTCTACACATAGGAGATGAAGCCTGTCCGAAGGTCTAATCATCCTGGTCCATCTTGTCCTCTTTCTCGTATTTCTTCTTGAGAATGCTCACTAGAGCGAATGTCAGCGACAAAAACTCTGCTACGAAACCTTGTGCAGTGACGTACTTTCTCGTGAGATCTGGCCAGAGGTCATCCATCCCTCCGGGAATGCAGCAACGATCTGAGATCGAGTGTTTACGCTATGCATCGAAGTGAAGGTAGACAATGCGAACCTTCTGGTATAAGGCCTTCCTCAGACCTTGATCGCTGACCATGGTCACAACCCCCTCCAGTTGACTGTTATGTGAATCGTGATGAGCATGTTGTGTCACATCCGAGCGAGTCGGTTGCCGTAGAGGATGCCGAGATACTCACTTCTTCTCGTTCTCGATCCGACAACACTCGTTGCTGATGCAAACCAGCGCCCAGATCGTGTTCTTCATCGCCTCCGTTAACTTATACTTCTGCGGCGGCGGGTGCGACTTCTCGTCTTTCATGCTTTCGTCAGGGTTCTGGCCGGGACCTTGGGAGGGCGTCGGCACCGGCGTGCCTTCTGCTGAAGCCGGGACACTATCGTGACTGGCTTCGTGTTTCTGTTGTTGCTTCCTCTCTGACAAAGGGGGTAGTCGACATCAGAGAAAGAGTCATTGGAGGCTAAGGTGTAACGTACCCCAGTTCGCAACGGCCCGCTCATGCTCCTCTTGCGCCTTCGGGAAACCTTCGACAGCCATCTGCCTCAGCTCTGCCAAGAGTACCTCTTGACGGTCCACTAGTATCCGAATGTGATCGTGCATGACCGTACGCTTGATGAGTTTCTGCGAGACCAACAAAGAATCAACGACTGATCACGGTGACAGAATCAGAAATAATTTACGGCCATGGTGAATCGGTTGTAGGGGAATATGGTCGGCATGAGGTTGAAGAAGTTGTCGTCGTATTCGTTCAGACGTATGGCTTTGATAGCGAGGGCTGCAAGATGGGGTTTGAGGCTCTGTGGGAACTTGCCTTTTTTCTCCCAGTTCTCTGGAGCAAGCGTTTCAATGTCGTCGTCATGTCAGCAATGAGAAATATGTAACGCACCCATCGCGATGAGGACCTTCAACCTATCGATCATCACTTGCAACTCGGGGTGGAATGGACGCTGATAGTCTCGAATGAGCGCGGAACTTCTGTGGCTCACGATCTGGAGGTGGCTCACAATATCGACGTTGCCCTTTCTCTTTTTTCCGGATTTGGCATCGCTGGGGCCCCAGCTGACTGGCTGGACGCTATCACTCGCCTTGCGCTTCAGCCCATGCTTGTCGTCTTCACCATCAGAGGGAACGGCGATCGGCGAATCTCTTGTCCCATCTGAGAACCATGAAGGTGAGCGAAGAGCAACCGGAAAGCATCACGAGACAGGAACGCTGCTCACCCATGCTATAGCTTACATCGTTGGGGCTCATCCTGCTCGGACCCGCCGCACTCGCGCTGGAGCTCTCACCAAGCATGGGTTGACTGGGCGGCGGTAGTGGCAGCAGGAGAGGTTTGCGAGAGTGTGGCTTCTTCGGCGTCTTTTCCTTGAGGAGTGCGACTTCGCCGGCGGAGACGTAGAAGCCTTGCATCTTCGTCTGAGCGATGAACGAGCGCTCGTCGATGGCCAGGTCCGAATCGTCGATGAAGGGGTCGTTCAGGTCGTAATGCGCGTTGTTGGGTTTCCGCCGCCGCTACGGAGGAGTCGGTAACTACAGGAAGGTGCAGGAAGGTGGATATGAGGTCGACATACCCTTCGTTTACCCTCGCCTTCACTCTTGACTCCTTCGGCTTCACTTTTGACGCCCGCATCTTTGGCCTTCGCACCTTCGTCCTCGGCCTCGTCGTCGACGTCATTAACTATGGTAGGTACAGTCGATTCGTCCTTTGGCAATTGACCGGTGGACTTCGCAAGCGACACTACGTCGACTTCGTACTTCGAAGGCCCTCCCAATTTGATTGACAGGCGGATAGTAGGCTGGAACGTTATCAGCAGTGCTCTCGACGAATGCACCGGCAAAGGAGAAAGATGAAGATAAATAACATCATACAAGGCTCGTTGTGATGACACAAGCTCAAAGCATGCACATAACCAACTGAAGGCACGACGTCGAAAGAGTACGGTGTAGTCTCAGGTTATTGAGTAGAAAGGAAAGTCGCGTGGGACGCGAGGTGGAGTCTATCACCCGGCGGCTAATCGAGGCAATCGACTCCTGAACCAACTACTCACCAATGGCGGAGGGGGTGGCGGCGCCGCTACCGGCGACGGTGAACGCGGCTTGCGTTTCTTGCGTACTGTAAGAGGTTTATTTGGAGCAGAGGAAGCGGAAGCGGAGGCGTCGATATCGGGCGCGGCGGTGGCGGGCTCTTCCACAGCGATGGATTCCTCCGCGTTCTCAGGCTCGAGCTCCGGCTCGCCCTCGTCGCCGTCGCCCTCACCGTCGCCGTCGCCCTGTTCGCTAGCAGAAGAGTCGTCACCGTCCTCGTCCTCGTCGTCTTCGTCGTCTTCGTCCTCGTTTGCACCCGGTTCCTCATCTTCGCTTGAGGGTTGTGAAGGCGAGTTCGATGCGCTGTCGTCATCCATAACTTCTTCTTGTGGACTGGGAGGCGAATTATCAACGTCAGGCAGCATTTCCACGTCCGTGGACATCGTTTGCGCAGGAAATCGCGAGGAAAAGCCTTATTTGAGGGGGTGCCAAAGGGCGGGACGACGGGGAGCAGGTGGGGGAGGGTGCGGTTGCGTGGCGCTGTTCGAACCAGCGCCCAGATCTGCCGTTGTCATTTTGTTTCCTCCCTTGCGTTTCTGAAGCGCAACCCGTCGTGAATGGAACTCGTGATTGGCCGCAATTCCCATCTTCCGCCGCGCGCCAGGCTCGGGCCCAGCAGAACTTCCACTCGGATGATTGGCACTCCGGACATTGCCGCGCGAAGCCGCACGCGAAGTGCGCTCGTCGGAGATTAAAGTGCGACCTTTAGTCCCGCAGGCTAGTCTATTTTCCCGATTAGATAGAAATTCACGGAGGGGCAGCGGCAGCTTGAATCAACTGCATGCTCCCGTGTCCAAGTCATAAGCTCCTTAACTTATAGTCTCCTTGTCGTTGCCCTGCTCTCTGTTTTGTACTACTCAAGACTCAGCCATCATCAAAATGTCGGAATCCACCGCCCCAGAGCCCATAGTCGTCGACAAACCCACCGAGGATGCGCCTGCTGCAACGGACGCTCCTGTAACGGAGGCTTCAGCTGAAGCAGCTGCTCCAGCTCCCTTAAGCGGAGATGAGGACACAAAAATGCTCAAGGCTGCCAGGCAGAGTATGAGTTGTTTCGCCTTGGAAACATGACACTAAAGCTTCTCTTCATTCCCCTGCAACAGTCGAGTTTTACTTCGCAGACTCGAATCTTCCATATGACCGGTATACCTTCCCTTTCCCATAATCTTGCGATGTTACTGAATTGAAACCCATAGATTCATGTGGTCCCTTCACACTGCCAACCCGGAGCACTGGGTACCTATATCTACCGTAGCATCCTTCAAGCGCATGCGGGACTACACCCCGCTAGGCGTCGAATGGGTTGCCAACGCGCTCCGCAAGAAGAGCGACCAGCTCGAAGTGAGCGAGGACGGGACGAACGTGAGGAGGAAAAATGAAGTGCAGGAGCCGAAGGGGCAGATGGAGAGGAGTATCTATGCCGTGAGTTCAACCCATCTTGGCTAATGCCTTACGACCTCTGATGTCAGCACTTCTAGAAAGGGTTTGGTACGGAAACGCCTGATCTCCAGACAAAACTCGAAGAATATTTCGAGAAATACGGTCGCACGAACGCCGTTCGTATGCGCCGTTCGAATGAAAAGGAGTTCAAGGTGCGTTATCTTGGATCCATCGTGTCGAATTTTGCGCTCCTTAACTACGATATCGCCGTAGGGCTCCGTGTTCGTCGAGTTCTCGGATTTCGACTCCGTGTCCAGATTCCTCAACGCTGACCCTAAGCCGTCATGGAATGGCGAGCCTCTCCTCATCATGACCAAGTATGTTCACCAGTATATCCCCGGGTACGACGCGCTCTTATGCATGGGCGTCGCAGAGAGGCGTACTGCGAGATGAAAATCAAAGAAAAAGGCCTCACTGGCAAGGCCGCCGAGATCCGGAAGGACATGCTCTCCACCCCGTCCCGGAAGGGCTTCAACGCTTTCCGCGAGATGGCCAAGGAGAAGGGAGGTAAAGGTGGCGAGGAGAAGGCCAAGCCGAAGCCGTCCGTCAGTATCGAATTTATGGGCCAGAAGATACCGGTGGATGAGAAGGACGGGGAAGGTCACGCGGACGAGGATATGTTCGAAACGGTCAAGGGAGCGTCCTTGAAGTTCGAGGGGTGCGGAGGGGAGTGTGATTACAACGAAGTCAAGGTTTGTGGACCTCTATAAACCTTTACTGGATGCAGCTGACGGTTTGCCATCCAGGGGCCCATGCGTGAACGCTTCGCCCGTGTGCCGTTCATTCAATACGAGAAGGGCAGCGATTGGGGCCTCCTCGGCTTCGACAAACCGCTCACGGAGGAAGAGATCCAGTACGTGAAGGACAACGTGAAGACCATGAACGGCAACACCGTGACATGGTCGCTCTGCGACGGTACGTACATATTCACATGTTTCAGATACTTGTCATCCTGATCTCCGTCGTTTTATTTTTTCAGAGGAGGAAGAGCGCAAGTTCGAGGTTGATCGTCTGCAGCACGCTGCGAAGCGCCTGTTCTCCAGTAACCAGCGCTCCGACAAGGGCTCTCGAGGCGGTCGTGGCCGTGGGCGCAGCCGCGGGCGAGGCGGTCGTGGTGGTCGCGGTGGTGGACGGGGAGGCGACCGGGACAGCAAGCCCAGGGGAGGCGAGAAGAGCGAGGGCAAGGGAGGCGAGAAGAGCGAGGGCGGCGAGAAAAAGGCCGGGGAGGAGACGGCTGGCGATAAGAGGAAGCGTGCCGTCGAGCCTGACGGTGGACCGTTTACCGGCACCCGGGGGGCCACCGTGCCCGTGATACAGAGTGTTGCGAAGAAGGCGAAGGTGGACGGCGAGTCGTCATGATCTCTTGCGAGTCGCGGTATGATATTGCTGCTTTGGGTGTTGTATGTCTGCCCCACGCTTGCTTGTGTTTGCTCAATGTACACTAATGTCCCTCCGATGTATTGTCATGGGATGTTCAGACGATACTCACAAAGGGCATATTGATGCAGTGAACAACCCGGCGCTCTCTGCGCGACGCGAACACTAGTTCGCTGAAAAGGAAGACATGCTTTAGCGTCCATGAAGGCGCTTCATTTCCTACCATTCAAATCGTGAATAATTTCCGCATCCAGCGTGCCGGAAGGTGTGCTGGCAGGGCACTGAAGCATCAGTACATACTTCAGACCAAGGCTGTACAGCTGGCGTCCGGACAAATCCGGAGTCGCTCACTCGCCAAACGCACCGTTCACCACGTTTCGTCCTCCAAAATCTCCATGTTCGCCGCCAGCGCAAGGTCGTCCGCGGCGCGCAGCGCACGCGTAGCGCGCAACTTCGCCACTGTCGTCGAGAGCGCAGGCGTCAAGGTCGCTGCGGCCGACCACGGCCAGCCCACGTCCTCGGTCACCCTCCTCGTTAAGGCCGGCAGTCGATTCGACCCCAAGCCTGGCGTTGCGCATACGTTGAAAAACTTTGCTTTCAAGGTAAGCAATGCGCTAGCGGACTGCTGTTCTACGGCTTGCTATGGGAGAGGCGATTGACGCGGTTCTCGTGTTTGTAGAGCACCGGGAAGCGATCGGGTTTGGGAACTGTGAGGGAAGCGGAACTGTATGGTGGTGTTCTGCACGCTGGGCTTTCCAGGGAATACCTCACCGTGACTGCTGATTTCCTGCGCGGCGACGAGTATGTGGTGTTTTCGCCTGCTATGTTTCCATCACTCGTGCTGATTTCTCTGCAGGTCATACTTTGTCGACCTCCTCACCTCTTTCATCACCTCCTCGAAGTTCACCCGTCACGAACTCAACGAATCTGTCGCCCCCGTCGTCGAGGCGGAGTCTACCGCGGCGTCGCAGGATTCTGCGACCCGGGCACTCGAGCTCGCCCACGCCCTTGCCTTCCGGAATGGACTCGGCTTGCCCCTCTTCGCCCCTTCGCACAGCGGTATCACCCACGAGGAGGTAAAGGCTTTCGCATCTTCCGCCTTTGCCAAGGGCAACTTCGCTTTCCTCGGCACTGGCATCGACCAGTCCACCCTCGCCAAGCTCGTCGAGCAGGGTCTGTCTGGCGCGAGCGCTTCCTCCAGCAGCGCGCCATCGACTGGTGCGACCAAGTACTTTGGTGGCGAGTCGCGCTTAGCCGCGGACGGCCCCTCGAGCGTCTTCATCGGTTTCGGCACCACCGGAGCCCCCACGCCTGAGGTCGCCGCGCTCGCTGCGCATCTCTCGGTCGAGCCTGCCGTCAAGTGGTCGCAGGGCACGTCGCCGATCGCCGCCGCGCTACCTGAGGGCACTTCGGTCAAGAGCGTATATATTCCGTACTCGGACGCGTCGCTCTTCGGCCTTCTCGTCGAGGGCAGCACCCCCGCGGGCGTGAAGGAAGCCGGCAAAGCTGCCGTTGCTGCGCTCAAGGAGGCTGGTAGCTTGAAGCAGGAGGATGTCAAGAAGGCCGTCGCGAAGGCCAAGTTCGCTGCTGCGAGCGCTGTTGACTCCAGGGAGGGACTCGTCTCCATCCTCGGTGCAAAGGTATGCCTTTATGGTGCCCATGTTAAGGACTTGCTCTCACATCTGCCATCCAGGTTCTGGCCGGCTCTGAGGCTTCGCTCGATGGCGCGCTGTCCGCATTTGACAAGGTCGATGCTTCCGCGTTCTCGAAGGCTACCTCCGCTCTTCTCAAGAGCAAGCCGACCTACGTTGCAGTTGGAGACATTACCTACCTTCCCCACGCCGACGAGCTCGGTCTGTAATAGATGTTACGGAGTAGAACGCCTAAGTATTTCACCATCGATATCGTACATGACTTGGCGCGTGTTACGGAAAGCATTGTGGACACAGAATCGTAGCAACAAGCGAGGCAAAGCGGGGTAACGCGATGATATGAAGTGGCAGTCAAAGCAGGATAACAGCACGGAAGGAAAGCAGTCATTACAAATGGAAGCAGGAGTCGCAGGTCGTAGCGATACCCTCGTAGGAACTGCTTCGCTTGCCTCTGCGAGTAGGTTTCTAGTTCGGAGGACGCGCCGACCGGTAGCGCTTAGTCGCCAGGCGCGGAACGGAGTCGACGTGGTTTCCGACCGTGCAGCGCTGCTAGTCGCGTACTATTGAACAACCGCAATGGGTGGGCCTGGTGAATTACTCGATGAGCGAAACGAGAAGACTCGGGATCGTTTAGGGACAAAGCATGACTTACGTGTCGCCGAAGCGTTTGGACGTATATCGTACATCAAAGTGCGGATACTACGGGCGGCATATGGGACACCATAGCAATCAAGAAAGCGTTTTTTTTTTTTTTTTTTTGGCTTTTGAACGGCGAAAGCGAGTCAAAGCAGGACAGCAAGATAAAAAAAACGGGGATGTTGTACAAAAGCAGACAAAGCCTGTAACGATCACATTTTGCGGGCGTGGACGGCGTGATACACGCAGACCATGCCCTCGACGTGGCGGAGGTCGTGGCGATATCGGCGCAGAAGGTCCTTGACACTCTGCAAAGGATTGCCAGACTCGAGCAGCATCGGGCACATGTTCTTGGCGTACCGATCGATAACTGCCCGGAAGTAGTTTCCGACGATTTTGAGGTGGTCCGTTATATCATCGGGACTCATGCGAGAAAACCGGGCAGCGTAGTCGACACCCCGGAGCGCGCTGGCGTCCGCGTGCGTCGGCCAATCTCCGATGGGCATGTAGAATTTCTCCTCGACGATGTAATTGAAAACGCCAGTGTCGGACAGCCACGCCGCCATGACGGGCCCGAAGGCACGGTCAATACCCTTGCGATCGCGCAAACCGCTAGAGATCGCCTCGAACATGGCCTGAATGCCTGGAGCGTGCACAGCAAGATCGCGGTCAGGATCACGATGGGGCGCAAACGAAGCACGGCGGGCCCATTCTCCGCCGATGAAGAGGCCTCCAGGCTTGAGTACGCGGGCTATTTCGCGAAGAAGTTCCGGATAGTCGCGAACCTGTTTGCGTACCGAAGTAAATGCACAGTGTTTCACACGGGGAAACAAGAACGTACGCTAGTCGAGATGCATCGCGCATGTACAATATCAAAGCTCTCGTTCGCGAAGTTCAGAGGCTCCATGATGTTGCCCAGCTGAAAAGTAACGTTCTCGAAGTCGGAAGCCGGATAAATCGGCACTGCAGAAATAAAATTGAACAAGCTGCGTGTCAGCACCAAGAGACTGGATACACACCTATGTCAATGCCAACAAAGTGAGCTGTTGGGTATTGATGCGCCATTTCCATGACCCTAAAGCGAATGAGGCACACGAGGGCACGTAGCAACCAAGTCGTACCATCTCCCTGTCCCGGTGCCCAGATCGAGAACACATATATCTCCCTCTCCGCCATCCGGAGAGAGGAGTTCCGGCACCGGCCCTACGAAGTTGCTGCCGAGCAGGTGTTGCAGGCAGAGATGCTGGACAATCTGTCTCTGCACAGAGAACAGTCGGTCATTGCCGTTGACAAAGGTCAGAGCTAGTATCGACGCACGTTCTGCTCCAGTTCATCCGCAGGGAGCGGGTACGGGAGATTACCATGGTAATGGAAGAGGCGGCCGTGCCGCTCGACGAAGAAGGAGTGCTCGATGTCCGAGTCGGTAGACTCAGCATCTGAGTCATCATCTGACTGGACGTAGCCCCGGTATCCGTCAAACACAGCTTCAACCGTGGAGGTCGGCCCATCAGGAAATAGGCGTACTTCGCCGTGGGCGTGAGCGTCCGAATTTGCATGAGGCACCCCGTGGTCCTCGGCTGCCTGATCGCGTTCGCCTGCAACCTGGACACGACCAGGTGCTGGAAGAGGGTCATTCGGGTCCATCAATCTACCGTCCGAGTCTCCGGCAGGAGACGCGCCAGACATTCGAGCCATGGAGGTTATAGCTTCCACTACGATTCAGCAGTCCGCACGAGTCGGACCGCGCAAATCGGAGGGCAATCAAGCAGAACACAGGTCGCCACCTAGAGTTGGCAGCCCGTGTCCTGTCTGGACGTGAGTGATCTTCTGTCGATGGCCTTGCTGATGAGGTTTGTCTGTGGTGTTCGTAAGGCAAAGTAGGTGCGTTACACGTGCTACGAAGTGCGCTTGTGAAGAGATTTTGATGTCCCTGCAAGCGAACAATGGCGGCTGTCGAGCGTCCGAGACGAACAATGGGGAGATGGTCGTCCTCGTCGTCGCCAGCAAGACGTCGACACTCCTTCCCGCAACCCATCAGATAGGGTGTTCATCCATTCCATCCCCGCTGCCGCGGATGGCAAATGGCCCATCGACAACAGCTGGCGTTAGCAGACCGAACTCCGCTGTATTAGTCTTGTGGGTCCCTTTTGTTTGCGTACGCGATGGCTAACGCGGCGTGACAGGCACGTGAAGACGCGTCCCACGGCGAGTCACGCTGGATTTGCGCGCGACTTAAAACCCCTATCTCTCCGACACCCTATCCATCTTCACCACGCCGAGGACGCGGAACGTTCTGCCTGTGCATAGTCTTTCGTATTGGACTGTAAATATGCCTCCACGCGAAAGCATCTCCAAGTTTTGGGAGGAGATGCAAGCCCGAATCAGCGATACCCCAACTTCAACCTCAAGTAAAGCAGCGTCGCGACAAGCAATCCTATCGATCACAGCCAAGCCGAACGAAGCAAGCACGTCTGTGAAGAAACGGAAAGCCTCTCATGAGGATCTCAGGAGCGAAGAAAAACGTCCCAGGCCGAATGTACAGCCAGAGGTTGCTGAGACTGCGCCACATGAATCTACGACATCGTCAGTCCCTGTGAAAACGTGCATCACCACCCAGATCACCGAGAATCAACTCACAGTAATGAACGCATATATCCCGAGAGGTCCAAGCCGGCGGGCGATGTGCCACAATCCGAGCCATTGGCGGATGTTCGATCTGCTCATCCGTCGATGCCAACCGGTGTCTCATCCGAGCGGAAACTTCAAGGATCATCCGAAGCACCGGCAAATCAGGCGATTGGCTCCTCGGAAAATGCAACGTTGTCGTCTGAAGTGGACGTCAGGAAGACGACGGAAGCGAAGGTGAGGACAAGTACCCAACCAAAAACCGAGCGTCCGCCCGCGCAACCAATCGAGAAAGCATCCATATCGAAAGCCAAATCTTCCACCGTAAACCTAGCCTCGTCGTCCGTAAATGCCAGCTCCTCCAAGCTCGCACGCGGAGACACCGTGGTATTATCGGCGACCTCGGCATCCGCAAGCTCCTCCAAGCTAGTGGCGAGTACATCGAGGCGGAGAGTGCCGCAGATAATGCCCGAGTCGATGTTGAAACGAACAGCATCCAAGGGCAAGGCAAAAAAGGATACGGAACGTCTAACTCCTTTGCAATACGCTACGAAAATCACGACGGAGCTATTGGCGGACGAGACAAAGCGGCTGAAATATGCCGATGGACCCTTGAAGGACAAGGTGATGTACTACTATGGCGGCAACAGGGATGCCGCATGTGACATGACCAAGAAGAGAATGGATCTAGTGCGTGTAGTCAATCCGATGAAGAATGTCATTAATAGGATTCGCAGATGCTCTCAAGGGGCGCGACGTTGTTGCCGACATTTGACGCTGAGCGTTGTACGCATATAGTCGTCGCTTCGAACGTCACGATGAGGGTGTGTGGCGAGATGCATGTCTTGCGACGGGATGTCTCACCGTGATTATCATCCTACAGATGCTTCGTGGTGTTTTGGGCTTGAAGAAAGGCGAAGTAATCCCGGACCATATACCGACGGTAAAATGGGAATTCGTAACACCGTTCCTAAAGCTCGAGAAACGGAAGGATGGAACGCGTAAGCACAATGCACATTTGTAGTACCGCCGTCTACTGTGCATGAACGTTCATCACGATTCCAGCGAGATATCTGGCTCCGGAGACCGAACGGATGAACATGGTTAAATATGCTGCCTTCGAGTCCCGCCAATGGGTCGGCACCGAGATCCAAGAGATCAGAAAGCGCCAGGAGAAAGAAAGTGCTCTGAAACGTGAGAAGACAGTGGGCGCCGCCGCTGTTACGGACAGCGAGAAGAGCAGCATCTCGTACGTGCAATATCACCGTCTTTTGCGCGTGCGGGTCCGAGCCGATCGTTCTGCCCAGCGCCTTCACGGAGGATAGATCCAGATCCAGGTCGCGATCGACCAGCGTGCACAGCGGGCGGAGCCGATACGGCGAGCTCTCGTCTGATGATAATGATTCAAAGTATGCATCGGACTCCGAAGAAGAGCTTGAGCGCGCTCGTTTCGGACGCGGCAGAAGGGAAGGCGAAGCGCTGGCCAGGACCGATACCGCGCTGACATCTTCGTCTGCGCTTGCGCCGCCGAGCGAGGACGGTGAGGCGTGCCATCCTATAACTTACCTATCATGTTACTTATGTCTCATTGTAGTTTCCACCGCCGGCCTGCAGACGGCGACAGGCGATCCTCTGGCGGAATTCTATCAGCAGGCTAAACTCGAAAGAGACCGAGATCGCGGCGTGCGTCCCTATTCACAAATGATGCGATGAAGATAATGCTCATGTACTATCAGAACTTGGGATGCGATGATAGCGAGGAGGAACGGGAGCCTAACGAACACGAAAAAATGAGCGCTATGATATTTGTGAGTCGTTCGGTCTTTTGGTTGCGGTATGGGCTCGTTTAATTGGGTGAGTAGGGCATGTCGCCGTGGACGTGCGATAACAAAGGTGCGCGCACGACTGGTCCGTGCGTCAACCAGGATATTGTCGACAAGGCGAGTCATGTTCTCGTAACTTCTGAATCCCACTCCCTAATCCACGCCGTCGTGTAGCTCGAGGAGCTCGTCAAGCTACAGAAACAGAAATTAGGAGACGAAGCTCACTGGCGAGCGTTCAGCGGCCAGAAAGGTAGATTTCTTTCGCTTTGATCACGGAATGACGACGCCTCAGTATGGATACCAGCCATCCGCGCGGTCAAGAACCATCCGAAGCGGATTAAGTCCCTGGAGGAGGCGAAAAAGCTGCCCGGCGTCGGCGAAAAGACGGCGCAGAAGGTGAGCGCCCGCGTTTCGTCCGGACTCGCACGGACGATCCCGATCAGGGCGTCATTTACCCCCCCGTACAGATCATGGAGATTGTCGAAACGGGCGATCTGCGGCGGATCAAGTTCGAGGAAACCGCTGACGTCGGCGTCACGTCCCTGTTCATGGGTATATATGGCGTCGGTCTGAATACGGCGTTTCAGTGGTATTATGCTGGCTGTCGGACGTTGGAAGATCTCCGACAGGGCAAGGGGGGTGTTAGGCTGACCAACGCGCAGAAGATCGGGCTGGAGCACTATGACGGTGCGTGCGATGCTCGCTCGGTCGATGACGAGCTGTCGCTAAAGATGGTCGGTCAGACATCAATGAGCGAATGCCCCGCGAGGAGGCGAAAGCTATATTTGACTTGATTCGGCCTATCGGTACGTATACGGGCGTTACCCGTTCAGCATTTTCGAACGTTACGCTGAACGCGAAGCAGCGCTGCAGCTCGATATGAGGCTCGACATCAACATCATGGGCAGTTTTCGCAGGTGCGGGGTCTCCTTGATTTTGACGATCGGTGCCGTGAGACGCTGACGGCATAACGGCGACAGAGGCAAGGCAGATTGCGGGGACATTGACATTTTGATTACTCGGCCGACTTACGACCGCCGGGACCATCGAGGTTCGTCTATTTGTCGTCGCGTGGCTAAGAATGGAACCTGAGAGTGACGTCACCTTATAGGCATTTTGCGCCGCCTGCTCCGTGCGTTGCGCGAGGGTACGTCCCGCATCGTATTGGCAGGGGGGGGGGGGGGGGGGGGCCCCCA